CGTAGAGCATGTTGCAATCGTAGAGAAAATACATATTACGTGGTGGAAGTGGTTCCACGTCGCATCTTAGATAATAGATTGCACAAGTATGCCCCTGTTATTCGCTGTACAATGCAATTGCAATACAGACTACGCCTCTATAATAACAAACAGCCAACCTAATGAAATAAGGCGTTTAAGTACTTAGTTACTCGTAACTTGATTAACCAATTGCAGATAACAATATGATCTTGCATAGATGCAATTAGTTTTTGTTCAATTGATTAGTCTAACCGCTAGAGCTGCGAATAAACTAAAAATGGGGCAATCATTTGCACCGGGCGGAACCGCAAATTTGCATGTCCATTACAACTGATGACGTTGGCTGATACAGTTCTGTGACTTAGTGTTGTACCGTGGCATGATATTATTTGATGGTTGTAAAAATAATCCGTATGAAAATTTAGTTATACGCTTCTTTATCGAGTTGTTACACATAGGAAATAAAAACCATTTTTTCTGATCTAAATCGCATATACGTGTCTTTAACCGACCGAAAAAAAGAAGGGCGTTCTCAATTCGACTGGTTTTTTTATGTTACGCGATAACTCGATAATTGTGAACCAATTTTGATGATTTTTTTTTTGTTACAAAGAGGTTACATCAGTGCCGGTCCCATTTAAATTTGAAGAAACTATTCCACCTCCTAGGGTGGCAAACTGGGGTATGAATCCGGTTTCGCACACTCTCCGGAAACCAATTGCAATAAAACTTGGCAAATAGATGTAATTCCACTCTGGAGGTCGGTTTTTTTAGTACTCTGCACTGAGGTGATTCAAACTAACCTTTCGGGTCTATTACAGGTCCCATAGTCACGGTTCAATGACCATATGATTTTCCAAACGTTATTCTACCTTTGACGATATTATTAAATAAATAAATAGGGCCAAACAACCACACCAATTACCTGGTTTCAAATTAGGGAATTCCTTGTATACTACGAGTACCTGAGCAACGGGATTCGCTCTGGGGCATTACCCAGAATTAATTTAGAAAACTTAATTTCCCAAATTGATCTGACCGGGAATCGAACTCGGGACATGAACATCCTAAGGCACGTGATCATTCCATTTGCTTTAGGTATTATAATCTAGCGTTTTCCACACGTGTCCTTTTAAATGAAATTGTCATAACAGAGCGTAGCCAGACTTCGACTCGATTCAACCTCAAATGACTTTGATTGATTCCGCATAACAGTGAAAATGTTGAAACAATAACTTTGGAAAAAATATATAGTAAAATCGAGGACATACACTGATTAGTATACGGTGTGAAAACAAAAATTAAAAAAAAAAAACTTACCTCGAAATTTTTACAAGAAAATCGCTGTTTTCAATAGGTACTTATACCAATGTTTTTTTTTATATCAACTGAACTAAATAGTACCTACACGTATAGTTGACGATATACATTTTCCAATAAATTCTGAAATAAAGCCCGTGTCACCTGCCGATCGACCCGCTCAATAGAACCAATTCAGTACGGGAAAACATTTTAATTCGAGCTGAGGTAGTATCGACTCTTAAAGCCAGAGAATCGCTTTAAACAACTTATATATCCATGTAATAAGAGCTAAAGAGGTGCGCGTTTTGCGTCGGCGGTCCGAGCTAAACGCGCATCGTCTTTTTCACTCTTATTCTATTCACATAAAAGTATGAAATGTGGTGACTTCCATATCCGTTGTCTTTTATTATCCAGACTGTTAATAGTATCGTCAAAGTGGAGTTCAGACTTAAACAGATTCTCAACTCCGTGTTTAGTGAGATCTATTGATCTAGCAGCTGAAACAACGTTATTAATGTTCTGAGAAGCGGATAAAGATATAGCACTTAACCCGTATTGTGCCCATTACCGTAGCTCCAATCTATTTCCCTAAATATAGGTATTCTTTACGAGTTCCCAGCTCGGGTGACGTCAAAGCGGCCGCGCAGTCACCACTATGGAAACATAAATTATTCCACCGCGCCCCTAGCTTCGCTCACCGTGAAATCGTGATGACACCTAATGGATCCGGATCATGAAACTTCTTAAATTAACTGTAACCTTCAATATTAGGCGAGGTTCTGTTTTCACTATCACGATGCATGCATTAGGGTCTCAAGGGATAGGTTTGCCCTTCGAAAGCTTAACGTTAAGGCGGTCCGTGGGGTGGGAAAACCGGCGCGAAGGTAAAATATACCACACTCTATAACGGGCAACGCCTTGAACTTGATGATATTCGGATCTAATGGCCCCGTATCATGATAGGCTGTTCGGTATAATAGAATCGGACACGTTAATAAATTTATATTCAGATAGGACAATAAAAAAGTTTATTGGTGTGTTAATTCGTAAACAACAAGAGAAATAATGCGCTGATTTTCACGAATTTTTGTACGATGTCATACTCATTAGTGTTATGAAGTTTTATGACTGAGAAAGAAGAAAATAAATATTATATTTTTTTTGGGGTGGTACCTTTCGTTTCATGACATTAAGTGAGGGGACGAGCGAGTCGTGCGCCTGCTGGTAAGCGGCGTTCATAACAATTGCAGTGCCACTAAGAGCTTTAAAAATGACAAAGATTCAGATGTCTGTGAATTGCACTGCCACTGCGCACGTCACCCTGAGATATAAGTTGACAAGTTACAAATGCCTGTAATTTCAACCTTTGAAACCGGAATTCAGTAATGCTCACATTATTGCTTGGCGGCAGAAATAGGTAAAGTGGCAGTACTTCCCTGGATTAACTCTTTCACAAGAAGCTCTACTGCTACTGAAAACCCAGTGGTTACTTCTCAATTAAAAGATCGACTGTCCGTATCTTTGTACCGGAATGTACCTATGATTATATTTTTTAAGTTATGTAGGTGCATTTGTGAATGTCTTTTTTTCCCCCTGTATCGCGGGACATACACAGACAACCACAAATTACACCTAAACTCACGAGAGAAATAAATGTAAGTCATACAAAATATTTCTCCCGGGCCCGGAATCAAACCCAAGATCTCTACTCGACAGACCAGCACAGTAACGGTTAGGCCACGGAGTGTTCAGTAGCCATGTCTCGTTAACAGTGAACAAAAACAACATGAAAAATTAAAAATTAAAAGAAATGAAAATTCGTAACACTTGGAAAAAGTGTGAAGACCTAAACCCTCTAACTTAGCGGAGAACCGTGCCCAACAATGGGATGTATAATCGATTGACGATGATTTTTTTTAAATTACATTGAGTGAAGTACCAAGCTCTTTGGTAAGCAAATTTACAATCCACTTTGAACCGAAATTACATAGAACATAATAAATTTAAACTTTACTAGCCTCTAAACTAGTGTGTTTGTTTATCTACACAAATATGTTTTATGCTCGCGGTGTACTTTTACGTTGGCGTCCTTAACCCTTCAACTTTTTTTCTATTCTTAGCTCTGGTCAACCTTGAATCGAGAAAATGTGTTCTGTCGTATATTTGCATCGTTCTTTTTTTAACTTCATAAATGTAACAGAAAACTGAATAAGAACTTAACAATCTGTTAAGTAAACTAACTTGTGACAGTTAATCTATGCATTAAAAATAATGAACAATGGAATTGGAATAGTGTGGAGACACTGTAAATGTATAACTATCAAGTAGTTCATGTCCACCATAGACGAATATACAGTTTATATATATTTAGTAACTTAACAAAATGGTTCAATTTCATGCACAAACTAAATAAAAATCGCGATAAAAAGCTTATACGAAAAAAGGCTAGATTACTATAAATATTAGTTATTGATAGTTCTACTGTGTATTGTCACTATCTAAACTGATAACACTAGAATGCATCAAGTTAGAGATAAGATTGTATTTAATGATCACTCATAATAATATTTTATCCTAATATTTTGATAAGTGTAGGAGACAATTTATTTTTAAGCAACACAGTGACAATCTTTTTTTACATATAAGGACGTTTTTATAAGTAAACCTAAAAATTCATACAGGTCTTTATAATGTTGTCCACAGCCTAACTTCACCCACTGCTGGGCATGGGCCTCCCGTCATTTGTCCCATCCATCACAATCCTGCTTTAAGCTCACCCATCTGTCATCCACCCATGGGTGTAGGTCTTTATAACACTTTTTATGTTAAATATAAATAGATAGTGTAAAACATTATTATCAATTATCTAGTCCTAAATTAAGGAATTTAATGTACTATGAGTACCAGAGCAACGGAATTCATTCTGGGACATGCCCCAGAACACCCATACCAGAACCAATTCAGAATAGTTCATTTCCCTAAGTCTAAAAAAGGAATTGGAATATGTTTGAATTTAAATCTATGACATTTTTTTTCAATTTAGTTTTACATGTGATACTCTTTATTAGTGAAATAAGAAAAAAACATAAAGATTTATTTGCACAAGCAATAAAATGTCGAATTGATACTGTCACTGCTTCCTTAAGTGTGGTTTTTTTTATAAACCTGTTACATTATAAGTATGAACAGGTAAAGTCAGTTGTAAAGGCCTATTCTAATGAATTCTTATGTCCTTGGTTGAATAGTAAGTGGTTAATTTTAAAAATAAATTTAGGTCATTTTATTTATTGTACATAAGTCTCTAAAGCCTTTAAACAACAATATTTTATTTCTCTCCATTGGTGGACAATTTGAATAAACAATTTAAATAAAAAAGGTGAACAAGGTGAACAAATTGATATTCAACAAGAAGACTCAAAGTTAATCTCTAGCACATGCAATACACTAGGGATACCTTTTTTACAATTTAGTTGATAGAAAAATATGGAACAGCCCTTAAAAAACTATTTGAAAATGCTATTCATCACCAACATATTATCCAAATTTTTTCAGGAGCTTTAGTTCTTTTTACTGCAACAGGACAAAAGAATGCCCTGCAAGTGTTTTATTAATAAAAGTTCTAACTTCAAAGACCTCAAGTCCATATGACCATTTAAAGCATAAAATTAGATACTTACTTTGGGGACTTTAGCGAAGACACCAGTTCTAACATCTCTAATGTAAGCTATATCCAACAGCTCCACTTCCATGTTCTGGTCTGTCCAGTACACGAAGAACCCCTTAGGATCCACACGCAGGGTGACTGGAACGCCCGCGCCAGAATCCTGCTTAAAAATAATTACTTACTTTAAAAAAAAATATTAAAATGTTTTAATAAAAATTTTTCAAACCGCCAATTATCGCAAAAAAATATTTTACATAGTGTTTAAGTTATGATTTATAATTTTACAACAAAATGACCAAGAACTGCACTGACCTCATCCCATTTGATGAATTTCTCTCCATCCTGCAGAGCCTTCGGCACTTCGATCGGCTTTAAATTCACGTTAGCTGGCCGCGGCGCCGCCGTCATCGCGAATAACAAACACAATTATGCGGAAACAATAACACTAGCGTAGTTAAAAACCGTCATCTTCCAACCCGTGCACAAATCTATCTACGAATTCTATCGATGGTACACTCAACGAAGGCACGGCACACGAACGCGAGCGAACCACAGTACGACAGCACACCGACGTAGACTAACATTTAATAAAATGGTACTCATGATAAATTTAAGTCCCTAATTACTAAAAACAACGATTTTCTTCCCACATAATCTCAACGTATCCACCAAAAATCCACGAATGTCAAAATCGTACGGTAAGGTAAGTACAAAATAGGGGTGTCCACCAATAATTAAATTCAATTTGTAGTTAATAAAGTTAATCGATTAATATGTAGTAAAAGTTCATTGAAAAAAAAGTATGAAATAACGTTTTTTTTAAACTGTAATAAGATGAAAAGTGTATTTAAAAACTTGATATTACGACAAAGCAGTCGTATTTTTTGACATGACCAGCTGATCACACTGATTATACTTAATACTCACGTCCTTGGATATTTACTGGGGTAGGAACGATTATCAACCGCCACTAGCCCTTTTAACAATAAGACCAAAACCAAGAATTTTTAAATCTGTTTTTAGTAATGTTGACAGTCATATAACAAACTTTTTCCTACGGTAGCAAATGGCTGAAACGATACTTGCGAAAAGGCAAGAAAGAAGAAAAAACTAAAGCAATGACTTTTTTCAGTATTTCGGAATATATTGAGTAGATAACATAAAGACAGTTATAATAATGAATAAATTTTGTGCATAATAGAAGTGCAGCAAACGAAGCATTCTTGGTAGTATCTACTCAATTTGCACAGTCTATGATTGAATTTATTCCGCTTTTCCTCAAGCGACATGTATGAAATTTTCTATAAACCATATACTTCTACCATATAGCTCATCAAATCAAAGTTTAAAATTATTTAAACTTAGGCTACTAAAACCAAATTCCTTTTTACTGAAGAAATCGATTTATTTAGCAATCGATGAAGTTTCACAGAAACAAGGAATATGCTTCACTAAAATGGAAGTCTTTTTAGTGTCAGTTACAGAAATGGTGCAGAATTGTAATATCCATATATTTCTAAAATCTTTTGATGTTTGATGTAAAAATAAAAACTTCAGCAACAAACGTACATTAAACTAAAAATCCTTTTACAATGTTAGTAAATGTTATGTGGTTATTTAAAAAAATTGTATTGTGTTTTAAAATGCAGTTTTTTTCAATGCTTCGAGTGTTTCACTATAAAACACCCGACACGCCGACGTGTTTATTTAATAAAATTTAGGTACAAGACAATAACCATGTAGCAATGAAGTAGACGTTTTATTCAAAGAGTTTGTCTCTGTCTAAATATTTACGAAAACGAAAATTGTTCAAGAAAAGTACAACTACTTTAACTGTTGTCGATAGCTGATGTCCTCGTAGCCAATACTCAAATAATTAAAAAAAATCGTTGTCAAATTTGACATTTTCCTTCGGTTTTGGAGAATCGGCGCGTTTCGGAGTTTCTTTGCAAACTTTGGCTTGAAAAAAAAAGCTTTGGCTAATTTATAATAATTTACAGCTTACATTGTACGATTTATACGAGTTACGATTACATTTAGCGTGCATGCATCATGTCAGAATCAGAAGTTATTGAGCCAACTGACCAAGAAGTAAAGTTAGAACATAACCCAAGAAAACGAGTCCGACATCGTAAGAAGCAGCTTTATGAGAATATTCTGAAGCAAATGGAGTTCTATTTTAGCGACGCGAACCTCACTAAAGACAGGTTTCTTGGGGACTTAGTAAAGACGAACCCACAAGTGCCTCTCGAAGTGTTTTTAAAATTCAATAAGATTCGGTCTTTGACGCAGGATATTACTGATATTGCGAAGGCCATGAAGAATTCCACGTTATTAGAGCTCTCTGAAGACAGATTGAAGGTATTTGTTCTATATGGAATCAAAGAAATTTAATGGTTAGGTGGGATAAGAGGAATGTAGTTTAAGTCAAATGTTTTGAGCTTAAGGCACAACAAACAAAGTCTTATATGAATTTTGAATTTAACTAAACTTGCCTTTGTCTATTATGCTAAATTCAATACTTACGGTGTATTCACCAAAAATGTGCTAACATTTCCTTTCCCCTAAAAGATGAGGTAAGAAAGTACAGTACATCATATTTCTGATAAAGGAAATGTAAGTTGTATAGATGTTAAGGCTTTCGTTGTTAGTCACTAAATGATTATTACTAAATTTCAGATTTGTTACCACTGTATGACTTCTTTTTATTTTTCCGATATTTTGGAACGGTTTGCCCACTCCACAGTTGACTGGGCGGCTGCAGATGACAACTTTAAGAGCAGACATATCTGTCTACCCTCTTGCGTTGTCTGTTTACTAAGATTTCTGAACACTGGATCACAGGGTGAAGGAAGGTCATTTATATCTAAATAATACTTTTCAAACCTAAAAATCACACTTTTTTGTTCTTCTAACGGTAATGCTGATGGTCTACCTCTTTCCATCGTTGATACATTTATGTTACTTGTTTATTACTATATTTCATTATTAATGACATTATGAAAGCAGATTTTGCACAATTATTTTCCCCATTGTGAATATTTTGGGTGGTTTGGAATATTTACTATCAAATGACAACTAAACGATTTATTAAATAATGGATTATATTTCGTTTGCATTCCTTAATACCTACACATGGAATTTGCATTTGTAATAGTGAATTTAACTAGTAATTAATATAATGATTGTAATAAAATATAACTTGCAAAGATAATCCAGAAACCATTGTTAGCTTAGTCTAAACACCTGCAAAACTATTATTAACAATTACATGGAGAAAATGAATTGTCTTTTTTAGATGATAATTTTTGCAAAGGTGTTATATTATTTTTTTTAAATAACTTTTCATAGAAGCTTCCTAAAATAGTAAAAAAAAGTATGTTTAGGTAGAAATTAGGTAGTAAATAGTTATATAAAAAAACGTAAATTATATACTGCCAGAACCATGAAAAACGTAAAGTGGTCCAGCCAACCTGACATCAGAATGGCTGGCCACTTTATTTCCTTAATATTTCCGTTAGTGCAAAGGTAGAAAATATATCAATAAAGGCACTAAATAGTAGAAAATAGGTAGTAAATAATGAGCAGTTTGATTTGTATATCCCTTTTGGTCCAGCCATCCTGACGGACACCCGGATTCCATGCACTGGACAGTTTAAAGCCAACATCACAGTTAAATGCTTTGTACTTCGTGATCTCGGTGTGAAAAAAGTGAATAACAATGGTAACGCCACAACAAATCGCGATGAAGATAGTAGTCGTCGACATTGCAAGAGGGTAGACAGATATGTCTGCTCTTAAAGCTGTCATTTGCCGCCATCCAGTTAACCCATGACCATGGAGCATGCAACCGTTCCGAAATATCGGGAAAATAAAAAGAAATCATACCGTAGCAAGAAACCTGAAATTAGTGATAATCATTTAATGTAAGTTGCGTTCTCAAGATTTTATTACTGTCAAATTAGTTTTTTCCGCCTTTTCAATAAAGCATCATAGCAACATCTCTTTCAAATTATTTAAACTAATTTGTTTGTCTGTTTTATCAACTGATAGACTATAGTGCTAAACTAAACTAAACTCTTTAATTTATGAGTCAAGTCTTCAAGTTTCCACTTCACACTTAGTTCCTACTATTTAGCAAAGGTCAGGTAGGAACACTAGGAAAAGAGACCAGAAATTGCAAACAATGATTCACTATTGTCAACACTGTTTTTATCCTTCTTTAAAACAACATATTGTCCCTTACAATGCTACAGAGTACACAAGTTTTACAAAATTAATTATTTACATTGTATTGTAAAATATATTGGTATTTTGACTATACCTACATAACAAATGTTGAAAATTTTGTAGGTTTGTAATATTGCAATTAAGGATTTGTTCATTTGTCATTTACTATTTTATTTTTGTACATCTTATTGTGCCGATACTTCTTTTATTTTAGAACTATATTAACTATAGTTCTATATCTCTTAGTTTCTATATCTAATAGTTATATTTTTACATTGTGTTCTTCTATTTTCTTGTATCAGTTGTAATGTCAAAATCATACATATCGCTTAGCGAACTACACTGCTCAAGTAATTTGAAATGAATATGAGACGGCATATTATTATATTATTGTATATAAGATTTTGAAAGGTATTGTCAAAAAAAAACAATTATAGAAAAGAAATAATTCTCTGCATTGGTTATATCATTTTTATTGATATACGTTTTATTTTGATTTGAATAACATTCAAAAGGAAAACCCACCGATTTTCGACTTAAGCAGTGTTGTTTGCTAAGCGACGATATGTTTTTCTTTTCCATTTTATAGGTGCAGAGAAAAACACCACTTCTACCATATGATGCAGATCAAAGGACTATTTATGTAGAGTCCATACCAGTGACTGCCAGCAGGGAGTGGTTGCAAAGAGTATTCTCAGACTATGGCACTGTGGCTTATATATCATTGCCAAAGTTCAAAGACACACATAAGATTAAAGTAGGTAACTAATCATTGTTTAGGTTTACAATCTTGGGTCATTGTATTGGGAAACTGAAATTGTTTCAAATTGTTTTTTTTTTTTCATAATATGAAGATAAGGGCACATATTAATGTTTCTAATGTCAGTTCTACATTTCTAAAAGATATCCAATATTGAAAATATGTTAAAAACCATTTTTAACCGACTTCAAAAAAGGAGGAGGTTCTCAATTTGACTATGTTTTTTTAAGTATGTTACGCAATAACTCACGGTAAACAGTATTTGTGAACCGATTTTGATGATTCTTTTTCGTTGGAGAGAGAGTACCTTAGAAGCGGTCCCATTTATATTTGAAGAAAATATTCCACCTTTAAGGGTGGCAAACTATGAGATGAATGACTTTAGTTTTAACATAGTACATTTGTTGACCTTCCTTTTACTCTATTTCGACTTTTGTATAATTAAATTTTAAAAATTACCTAAACCTGCAGGGCTTTGGATTCATAGAGTTTGTAAGACCTGAAGATGCTCAAAAATGTTTAAACACATTCACCAAGATGGGTTGCAAACTTCCCACCTATATGCCTCCTGAACAACTATCTTCCATCAAGACGTTCTCTGCTGAGGAACATGGCGACGACGCTCATGATAAAGAAGAGAAAGAAGAAGAACCACCTAAAAAGAAAAAGAAAAAAGAGAAGAAGTTGAAGAATTTGGAATTGAAGTTAGAAATTGAGTCTGATGGAGAAAAACGGGCTGACACACCAACAACTCCAACACCTACAGTAAGTATGGCAAATTAAGAAAACCCTTGGAAAGCAATTGACTTAGCAGTTTCTTTTCTGTTTTAATTCTCAATATTAATATTTTACATGGACATACTTTTCTGCCCGATTGTCCAGAGATAGCAAAAGACTGAATCTTCAAGTGAATTAGGGGAGGCCTTTGCCTGGCAATGGGATAATAAATTTATCAGAATTCAATATCACACTGAAAGTGCAGAACTCTTAGTTCTTAAATGTGATTGCTTTTATTTATTGTGATTTATACATTTCAGGAAGAAAACAAAACTATTACAACTCCTGCAGAGGTGAGTAACGTTTTGTTTCAAATTAGATCATAATCATGCTTTTAAGATAAGTTTTAATTTTATTGTAATATATTATCAATGCTATTATTAATGTTTAATAACCCCTTTGCAGGAAACGAAGACCCCAGATGTGGAGTCAAAAGGTGAATTGACTAGTCATGATGAAGGGAAGCATGACCCTTCCGCGCCTAGAAAGAAAAAGATTAGAAAACGAACAGCAAAAGAAAGAAGCAAGGCTAAAAACAATCTAGGCCCAAATGAAGCCCCTAAGGCAGCACTATGGGGCCTCCAAGTATTATCCAAAGCCGAGTGGAAGTCCTTAAGAAATAAATATTTGAATTTGCAAAGAAAATATATGAAAGAACTAAAATCAAATTTGCAGAACAAGAGACATCCCTATTTGGGTATTCCTGCACCAGCTGAGCCTTCTGTTGATGCAGTGTCAGGTAAAATTATAATTTCTATTTAAATAATGCTTCTAATGTGTAGGTTTTTAGTTCCATTATCTGTATGTCACGGCCTTCTTACCTACTGTAGTGAAATTTGGTGTAAGCAAGGCAAATTTGGTATATATTTAATATAGATGACCCAAATATCAACAAATAAATGAAAAACCTTCATCACAAAAAGGGAATAAAAACAAATTACGTTTATTTTATTGACTGTCAGGCTGACCCTGTCTTTGGATAAATCCATGATAAATCTTTCAAGATGCAACAAAAAATGTCTTGGAACTATAACAGTGTATGCTGTATGTACGTATACCTTCAGATAAATTTGCTGTCACACTCGAATGTGTGTCTTCCTCTTGACTTTCGAACTCTGTTTCCAGGTCAAAGTCAGAAAATTCTCGCTCTAATTGCATACAAAACAAATGTTAAAACAAAGTGGTATAAACGAACCCTATCTAGAGCACGTTCAAAATTTTCTTGAGCATTTTTCATATTTAGGCTAAGATTCATTTATTCCCTCTTTGAATAAGATGTCTTGTGAGTCAGGTTACTGCATAGCAGCCTACGTTTCTTGGTCTTTTGTTGTTAGCTAATGATAATTATAAGTAAAATTAACAATAGCAGTAGAGTTTGTCCAGGAAAGTACTGCCATCTTACCTGTTTCTGCCGCCAGCCAGTAATAGAATAGTATTCAATAGAATAGAATGTTATTTTCTCCCAATAGCTTACAAATGTTAGAATGGCAGTTTGTAAAAATATAGATATAAATAATGCTACAGTTCTGGTTTTAAAGGCTAAAGGTGGGACTTGCCAACTTGTCTCAGGGTGACAGGCGCAATTGCACTGTCCTTCAAATCTTTGCGAATTAAATTTCTGAATGGCACTGCAATAACTAATAATTGAACAGGCGAGTTGCTCGACACCAGGGGCACGACTTGTTCATCCTGTCGTTTGGTATTCGCCATCATCGAACTTAAGAGTTATACTCTTGCCGGTGGAGTATCTTCCAATCATCTCACTTGGTATTATAAAATAATAATTTATAAACCTTTGAATTCCAGCCATCCCACAAAACGCCCCGGGTGCTAAAAACCCGCCGCCATTAGAACGAATACCGGGTGTTTTTGTAAAAGAAGTGCTGCCAGAACCTTGCCTTGACATCAGGCTTACTAAGAGAACTGTAAGTATTTTGAATACATATAGATACATGCAACGCTTTTGCGCTATGAACTGTCATTTTACTCCATCTTAAAAAAGACAGACTGTAGATAATGTCGCTTTTGATAACTGATGGGTAAGGTATTTGTAACAACATGTTTAGCTGCCACCTTTATAGCTTTACCATATTATTTGAGTTGTGTCAGTATTGTTACGATGTAATATTTTGTAAATACTTTCTAATTAATGTATTATACACTATAATCAGAAAGTTTTTTGGGTACATAACACAGTATTTTGCATTTTTCAGATTCGTAGCAACGTGCACGCTCTTCACGTGGATGTGAAAGAAGGTCAATTGGAGGTCATAATTCGATTCGATTCAACCAAAGCTGCTAGTGAGGTATGATAATTGAAAACATACTACTGTTTGTATTTATTTATTTATTGAGCATTGCTTGAAAAAGTTACAAATAGTGAACAAACTCAAAACAATATACTTACGGTCGTATTCCAAAACTCTAATCAATGCTCAAGTCAGGATTTGAGCAGACTTGAGTATGACTTTCAGTGCTCACTGCAATACTCAAGTCCTGACTTGAGTAATGAGTAGAGTTCTGGAATACGACCCTCAGACTAAAAGTTAGTTAATGTAATGTAAACATTGTACCTACAAAAACCCGGCATTTTTCTCAAATAAACATTGACAATGCGAGTTCGAGAAACGAAGCACAAATGACATCTATGACACGACAAAATGGCGGCGGCACAAATGTTTATGATTCCAGTGTATTGTGTTACCAGCGTCGCATATTATTTACGACCTTAAACATAATCTGTTATTGTAATCACTGTATACAACGAAATTAGGTAAAAATATATTTACGTACATTGCAAAATATGAATTCATCAAAATTTTATCAGATTACAGCTTCAAATGAGTTCTAAACGTTTATTAAAGATTGGACACTACCATTTATAATGTATATTTTGCTCGGTTATACCCTTTGTTTACATTTTGGACTCCTAAATAAGATTCATACTATAGTTTGGCATACGAAACTGGCAAACTAGGGTCACACTTTTGGCATACAGACGCGAGTGCCCTGTCAGTTCGAAGAAATTTTTTTTTTGTTCGAATTTTGTATTATAAACTTGTTTTTGGTTAACAGTACTGCGCAAACGCAACTAACCACGCGCACGTGCTTACGGGCTCTGAAGAAGACGAGCAGTGGTCGCGTGCAGAGGCAGCGCGAGGCTCGCGCCGTACCCGCGGCAGGCTACGGCTGCTCGCACGGCACGACGCGCAGTGTGCCGCCGCCGCACACGCGCCCGCCTCGCCGCAGCCAACGCACACGCATATACGCTTCGACGACGAGTAAACCTCGAGCAGATGGCCGCCTTTTTCTCTGTCTGCGATAGGCTTACTCCCACCCTCCACTCTATAAGACATAGAAGCGATAATACTGTATCAAATACTTCGATCCGAAAGATGAACTAGCCTCGAAACTTCCAATCTGTCCTGAATTGGTCTCAGTTGAGACCTGAAAATAAAACCATTGTCTATGTTCTTGTTTTTTAGTGTTATATAATACAAAGATTAAATACTGTTTTAAGACTGGATTTTTGTAATAATAAGCTTGTAGTTTTATAGAAAGTTAAAAAACTAAATTAAATAATAGTAAATATGTAAAATAAAAATGTATATAGTTTTATTTTGTCCAGAATTACCCAGAACGCGTGTGCTAGCCTAGCCAAGCGCAGGGCCAGCGCGAGCGAAGCTAAGCTAAGTTAGCTTAACCCACGTAACTGCATGCAACCAACTATGCGACCTTAGCTCAGTTAGCTTAGTTCGCGTGTGAACAGATGTATGAAAACATGCCGCGACTACGTGAGCTAAAGCTAACTTAGCTTAGCTTCGCTCGCGCTGTGGCCTGCGCTTTAGTGACGTTTCGATTCATTGGTTGTTGTTTTTTATTTGCCGTCACCGTTAAACACTGTTTCGCATATCTTTTGTGTATAATTCTGTCCTCCTTATTATAACTAAAGTAATCGATAGCTGGGATCGTCGAAACGAGATGTACAACCCCCTCTAATCGGTTTTTTTATATCTTATTATATAACAAATATAATTATTAAGTAATATCAGCGTAATTGACATTTTTTTACTGTACAAAAAAAGTGTATCTAGATGATTTTCAGATTTGTTTTCTCCGTCTGATTTCGGTGGAAATTTTTATTATTTATTTAGGCATTATTTAACATTCGAGTGTATTGCTAGTACCCTGAAATATTATTTAATATTTCATGATAATATATTCGGATACTAAAATAATGAAAATTGCCACCGAAATTAGGTAGAGAAAACTAATTGAAAATTACCGAAAGTTACCGAAATGAAAATGCGTTATGTTAATTATCGAAAATAATAATATCAAGCTTTAATATGTATGACGATATATCACTACCATCTTTTCCATTGAAATCCCGAACCATTTCCATAATCTGTAATTCTACTTTTCCAACCTTTCGATTGGCTAATGCGAAGGTAAAGTCATTAATAATAAAAAAGGGGCAGGATTAACCTACCAATTTCTACTAAATCAATGCTAAATTAACGTGTCTGTAGCTGAAAATGGAATTTTAAGTGAATGTATGAAACAATAAATTTTGTAAAAGAAAATGTATTTATTACGTATCAAATAAATGCAACATTAATTTCAGTCTTAAAAATTAGTTTATCTTAGCTTAATAATACAGGAGGTACAGGCACATTTTTATCAAAAATTGATTTTATCTTACAATATGTGTGACATTATATAGTCAACTAGTACATACAGTTACAAACTTACTTATAATAGACCTGTATTGCATTGATCGCGTTATACTTACACTGGATTATTTTCAACAAGGTACATTAAATTCACAACATAAAATAATGTTAGTATGAAACAACTTGCACTGTCATTAAATATTCTAAAACTCAAGATAATTTACAATTGATGAATAAAATATTATAAAACTTTAAAAGAGGTATACAAAAGGAAGAGCACCAAACATTAAGTAAATTGTTTGAATTATTAAAATTAATAGTTTTGCTAATTAAATACGTATATTATGTAAGTACTTACAATCCTAAATATTGGCAAATATTCATATCACAACAATTAAGCTAGTAGTATATTAAACTCATATTTAAACATTACATATACACTAGAGGTAGATTTATCTAACTTAGTATTAAGAAGCTTCCATATGTCTATGAACCGTCACTGGTGCAATTATGCTGTTCTTGCCGCAAGGCAGGACAGTCATATTAAGGTCGCCCGCTTTTAATCTAGGCTTAATTTTAGCAGGTAAAGGACAGCTGACGTCTGATTTAGTATCGTCAGACAAGACTGTAGGATCGTTTACGGAAAAACCAGTGGCTTCAGAGTCTTCGTGAGGAGTCATGGTGGAATAGCCATGATCCGAACCGCCCGCCGTATGAGGCCGCCTATAGCCTGTCACCACTCTGTACGGCGAAATAGGAGCTTCAATCTCCATAGCCGGCAAAAGTTTATCCTGCCCTGATTGATCGTGCATGTCATCTGATTGTAAATGACTCATTTGTACATCTGCATCGTGCCAAGTCTCAGCTGGACCATCGACGTACAGATTGTGACAGCTAGCAGAACTTACGTTTTGTCTATAACAATATATCGCTACGGCTATCACTAAACTAACAGTTACTATACAACCAGCTATGGGTCCAATTGCCGAATAATTACCGAAAGGATCCCTGTTAAGGTGCCCAAAAGTTCCTTCCCCGTAAGGAGTAACAGCGCCCAAAACGCCATTGAAACAGGTCGGTTGGGAAGTGCAAAAAGGCGCAGATAACGGAGTCCTACCATCAGTGTCAATTTGACACCATTCACAACCAAGAACTCCCAAACATGACGAGTGCGTCAAGTAGGTCTCGCATTGAAAATCGAAACATGACTTTAAGTTTTCTGCAAAATTATGAAAGTAATGTGACTTGTGATTATTGTTTTCTGGCATCATACCACACAGAGGAATGTCCTGATTAAAACGTGATACATTAACATTAGGACATTCGTACGGCTCGGAGCTGCACTCGCATGGACATTCGCATTCTGTCTGTTCCATACGGTTACAGTTGAGGCAAAGACGGTCGACCATGCTACAAGGGCAGAAAGCGCCGACGCTACACGACGCGTTCACGAGACCAACGAAAGCATTTGTACCAGGAACAGCAGCAATATAATAATGGACGCAATGATCGCCCGAAACGACGTTAGAGAGCACGTTAGGCAAAGATGTATTGAATTCATAAAACCGCTGAATAGTTTTATCGTAAAAATTGTTACACAACCTCTTGGTTACAAAACCTTTATGATTCAACATGTCAATGGCGATCATAGACTCCTTATGAGTGATATGCTGCTGCTCAATGGGACCTGAACTATTTGGATCCATCAAACCAGGATGAGAAACTAAGTAGCCTCTGTTGTTCATAATAAAACATTTAACATAAGACATGGCACATAATGGCATGCTGTCAATGAGTAATTTATAAAGAAAACCCATGGTGACATCCATGGCTACTACCATTGTAGGATAGAAAGGACTCTTTACAGCATATGAAATAGTGACAATGTATCCTGCGCCACCCACATCTAAATTGGGTGGAGTCAAGATAATTTTCCCTGAATATTCTAAAGCACCTGTGTACCACGGTCTTCTGACAGGCTCATAATCGTATTCAAGTACTGTGCCCGGGAACATTACTAGCACTCCGCTTTCTGTGACTGCATATCTTCTTACAATATACTTCGAATATATGCCATGTAGATGCTGGCGTTTATAAAATGACAAAATAGAATTAAGGAAGCCAACATCTTGCTGAATTTCGTTTTTCAGACCCGGATTCGACAGGAGACCATGAGCAACACTTTTCAAATATGCCAAGTAATTCTGCATGTAAGTGACAGCTTCTTCACCATCCCCCATGTCATACAGATAGGTGAAAGGAGATTGAAAGCTAGAGGGACTTAAATACACAGTACCCTGATCGATAGTAGCTACCTGCTTAAAATGTCTACACATCTTTCCATTCTTAGGGGGAAATAAATCTAATCGATGGAACAGTATTTCCTTATTACTTCTTGTGAAAAATATGTTAGTCTTATTAAACATGTTCTGTTCATAAAACTCAGAAACAATACAAACAATGTACAAATCACTAACCCATTTCCAAGAATAAATAATTGACTTTGTAGTGTTCTTGTCAATCATTGTCATATTACCAAAACTGTTAGAAATCATTTCTTGCTTAACGCTAAAGATAAAATCATACGCTTCAATATATTCCAAATTTGTAAACTTGATTTTTTCAGAGGCGGATTCAGGTCTAGGAAAAAATGTGTGCATTATGACTTTACCAGTGAAGTCCATAACAAACGCTCTTTTTTTCTGGTTTGTGCCCTTAAAATAGATGATATCTTCTGCAAGATCTGACCAGTAAAGATCTAGACCAAGTACTCCAGTATAAGTAGGAAGGACTAAAGATACCATGAAGTCCCTTTCTGTAGCTTCCCAAACTGGTCCTTCCACTTTTACTTTCTTGTTTTCATATTTCACTGGTAGCAATGAAATAAATGCTGAAGCTACTTGGCCTATAACACCACTGTCATTAATGTGTAGCCTCATAATAGAGTGGTTATTTGAATGATTGTGCCATTTGTCAATGTGTAGAATGCCAAGAGAGCTGTTTTTGTCAACCTGGTTCTCATAAATCAGTCCAATAGCAAATTTAGTACCAACATCATCTGAATAGGGGAACATTTTGAGCCAAGTTTCATTCTTCAACACTTTTGTGTCAGTCAGGAATATAAACAGTTTGCTTTTAGGCAGGTTGTTTTGATTGAGAAGAATCTTTAACTCCTTATTAATTGCTGTAGGTGATAAATTTATGGATGCCATCTCTAAGCTCGATAAATACTCTCTTAATAGTAACTTATTGTTATCTGTAGCATTCCCAAGGTCAGATATTCCATCATCACTGCAAGCATCTTCAAACTTTACAAAGTCAGTTGTATTAGTCATCTTTAAAGCCATCACATCAGTGCTCTGTAGCGCATACACTGTCTCCTTGGCTACATTGACAGCATGCTGTAGTGAATCTGCCTTCATTAAATTGTCAATAATAAACACCACAAGTTTAGGTTCAGGGTGCACTACTTTGTGGTACAAATACCTTAAATTTGAGTGAGGCATAGCGGCACAGTCTCTGTCAGTCGCATAATCCATATGCGATAGAAAATATTGGCGTTTAATTTTCAAGTCTTTGAAACGATCCAACATTTTGGATTTAGTATCAAGGGCAGGTAAATTGTTATAAATATTGGAACTTTTAATGAATACTGACTTACGAATAGAGTTGAATGGACAAGGATGAGTAAAGGACGGAGTGCTGTTGTCGTTTATAACACTGTTCATGTCTTTGAGAATGTTAGTAGCTGAAAATAGTTTGAAGCTTAGTTTGTCGACGATACTGGTGAGAATATCGCTGTCTGAGGTCTGATAGCGGCTTACTTTGTACGCTGTCCGTATTTCGAAGTGCGCGGTGTACTCGCTGCCAAGCTCTTTCACAATTTCACTAAATTTACTGGCTAGCGTGTCTGACAACTTCCGTACGCTTAATTTATAATCACATCGGGCATCAGTCCGCGTACAATTGTCGCTCTCGGCAAGAACATTCCAAATGCCGCAACACGTAGCGATCGTAAATAGCAGTGATAAAAGCTTCATCTTGTCTGTATTATCTTTGATCCGCGTCACACTTGATTACATTGTTCATCACGGGCACACGTCTTAGAAATATTGAATTTTGGTTCCATTGTTTGCAGATAAATGTCCGAAACATTTATTTCAACACGTTTTCATTCAATTTTATTACTAAAATAACAAAATTAATAAAATAAACACAAGCAAGTCCTGTCACGACTTCAAGTTAGTGTCATTACCAAACAACATGGCGGCGGTTTCTTTGCGTTTCGTTTCAAAGATTAGGTTTGATACTCAAAAGTTTTATTGCTCTCTATAAGTATGTTATAAAATCATGAAATGGGCTAATTTAATTTAATTAATTTATTATGTGCAAATAATCAAGTGAAATTCCATTTCAAATTAAAATTCAGAAAATCACCAGCTATATCAAGTGAAAAGAAACTGACAGAGTCTAATGCATTCACGACGAATTTCCAAAATTGACAAAGTGGAGAAGAAAATAATGAAAATCTGTAAATGCGGGAGGCAAAATAAAAAAAACGAAGAATAAATTATTAAAATATGATATGACCTAGGTACACATAATACATACAAACGTAAATTCTAAATATTTTCCCTTGGTTATTACGCTTATATCAAATTTATATATATGTACCTATACGTTTATATCAATTATTCCGTACATTGTGATATTTGGGTATAAGTTGCCAGTGTCTCGGACTCGCCAGTGGCGCGTGGCGACGCCGAGGACTAAACAAAACTACATACATACATACGTATAAATGTACTTAATCAATTAATGTCCCTATAAATATAAAAAATGTACCTATAACTATGTAGTTGAGTAAATTTGCCTTGACTTTGTCTATTTCGCAGTGTTAAAAGTTTGAAGGTCATTTTAGGCGTGAATGGTGTAAGTAGGTCTTGGCGAAGGGTGCCGACGGATAAAAGCATTTTATTCTTGCAAGTACGCTTGTGGGTCTTCCTACTTTAATTAACTAAATACACATATGAGTCTATTCATCTTTGTAAAATATTTTAACAGTTGTCGCTCTTTGCGATTTAAAGCTCTGAGTGGCACTGAAACTGCTATGGACAGGCGTGTCGCTTAGCACCAGGCACACAACTAGTTCCTACCATCATTTGTTATTATATAAAAAAAGATGCACATATTATATGACTCCATTTAAAATTGGTGACTAATAATAAAATACAGCCAAGAGCACGTCAAGCTTGACACTTTGTACTTTGGACAATTCTTACCATAAGCGGCATAGAAATTGATTTAAATCTTAAGTGTCAAGCTTGACGTGCTGTCGACCCTGTACCGACATATATCTATTATAGCAAATTTCTTAAATATTTATAGTTAAGTAGCTGCTACAGTCTACAGACAGTTGAAAGTTTTATCGAAAATGTGTTAAACTCTTGAATTTCAAATATAAACGTAAAGAAAAATTGTCCGTATCTACTTAAATACTCTCATAGAAATTTTTCTAATTATTTTAGTAAAATCCAAATAAAGTATTAAGGCAAGTCAAAGCTCAGATGTGAAGAACTTGACTAGATTTTAAAAGATTTTTGTAAAGAATTAAATTAGATTAATATATTGAGCCCGTTGTAGACTATTGCTATGCAATTAAGTCCCGTGCTGGGCGCCACACTACCTTAATCAATCTAATTTACATACAAGCGACGACTGTTATTGCACGCTAGTTAATTATAATTGTATGTAATAGTATATATAAATAATATGATTGGGTATTCATTGTTCATATTTCTTACTTGAAGTATCTAATAATGATTATAATTTCATATTTACATCAATCTTTGAAGTGCAGTCAAAACGTTAAGAAGGTAGGTATCCACTACTATTACATTTAAGACTGAAGAGTATTATTAGCCAATCATTTATGTATAAAAGCTCTTTTAACTTTAGCTCGCAAAATTTGTTTAATTCTGATTTCATAAATACACCCACCTACGTTCATATCACACATAGATATAATTGCGACACGTATACATTACCTACCACCCGTTTAATAATACGGGCGGCGAAAAAGGCATTGTAATGGCATTTTTATGCCTGTGCGAACCGTCTTAAGGCGTTACACACATAAGAAACCCCACGTACACATCTATATGTACATCATCGATTGGTCAGGGGCGGCGTGGCTTACCGTCCGACCATTAACCCAGTTGTGTACCGCGACTGGCGCGGCCGGCACGCCACGCGACGCCGGCCGCCACTCCGACACCATGCAACTACCTGAGCCACCGCCTCCACCTCTCGCTCCGCTTTGGGACCGTGTAATCAGAGCCCAGGCTCTGCCACCCGATCTTGATGTTCAACTCCTCTATATAGCAATCAGAGATCGCCTTGTACATTCCGAGTGGGAAGTCCGGCTACATGCGCTGAGAGTACTTGCAGATTTATTACCGCTCTCCGGTAACGCTCTATCCTTCCCTTTCGATCAAGTTGTGGATAACTTGGGACACAACTCGCCTAATGTTCGCAAAGCGGCGTTGGACGCTTTGAAAGTTTTCTGTAAGTACTGCGAAGATCCGGACTGCGCAGCACGTGCGATACTAGACAAGTGTTCGTATCATAACATTCGACCACACTCTGCAAACATTGACACGAAAGTGAACGTTATCACTGGACTCATATTATCCATGCCTTCTGTGTTGTGCATATTGAAGCGGAGGAATACATCTTTGGATATTTTTCCATTCTTTGATTTGCTAGGGGATAAACTTTTCGATTCTGCACATAGAGATGTTGCACAAAGATCGCTGCTAAAATTCAGAAGAGTTTGTGGAACAAGAGATTATGTGACATTTCTATCACGACTGGATCCTAAAGTACAAGAGAAGTTCCGGCTTCTATGCGAAACTTATGACGAAGACTCTATGGATGTTTACTATGCTCCTCGTAAAAATAGTTACGACGAGAACAACCAGCAGCTGGTCAAAATAAATCATACTTTCAGCAGCCCACGATCTACGCCTATGCGAATATCTACCGATAGTTCCTCAGACGAATCTTTCCGACACAAACCTTATTATAATTTTGGGAGAGTTATTATAGAGACTGAAATAAAATTTGATTCTGATACAGCCATCACAATGACTGTTTTGGAAGAAAATGAAACTGAATCTGAGAGGAATACGGCGAGTGAAGAAGATTGTGATAGCTCTGATAGAAATATGTTAAAGTATAGTGATGGTGATTCCGAAGACACAGATGTGGTAGTTAAAAAGGTGCGCTTTGGTGGTGAAAGCATAAAAATACGGACACCGGACAGTGAGAATCAAATAACAAGTGAAGAAGAAAATAATTCGAAAAAACAAATCGTGGATAACATTGAAGAAGTGTCAACGCAAGTAACTCCTATTATAGTGACCAAGATGAACGAAATAAAACGTGAAGCGACTGAAAGAGAATCGAGAGTAAAAGTAGTGAAAAAGAGCGGTATACCACTGCCAGTTATAAAAAACAAAGTTCGTAAACCGGAAATCGTCACCACTTACAGTAAAGTGAAGTTAAAATCAAAATCACTGAGTGAACTATACGATTATTTCAGATCAAGAAACGAACTAGAAGGTAAATTGAGGGAAGGGTCCGGGTTTGCGTTGACCTTGACGGAAGCGAATTCGCCGGAAAAGGTTCCAAGTCCGGTAGAGACTCATAGAGAAGTGGAAGTATTGCATAATTTGCAGCGGAGTCCTGCGGTGTCTCCGAAAAGAAAGCAAACACGACTTCATCTGGAACACGACGGGTATGTTGTTCAGAAGTTAATGTTATTTTTAAATTCAATTAACTCGACTCAGCTTTAACGTTGTACGAATCATTGTTTTTTGGCTAGGTTTGTGCTGAATCTGCTTGCGACGTCATCTCAATCGGAACCAGATATGTTGTCTCCTCGACCTCCTTCACCTTTGAGGGCTCACTATACCTGGGAGGATCTGAACATAGTGCCAACACACGTGCTGGAACAACTACATAATACGGTATTACGTAACTAACAGTATCTATATTATGCGCAAGTAAATTTGCGTTAGGGTTTTCTTTTATCCGCATTGTATTTTCCGACGCTATTTTTGCCAAACCATTAAAGAATAATGCGCCATTTGTGTCGTTGATGATTCATTTTCAATCTGCTACCTAGTAGCTACCTCTACTTTTATCGTAATAGGCGATAGGCAACGACGTATTGAGAATATAGTAGATATTTCCTAAGTAATATATTTTTTTTATTAAATTAGGAAAACTGGATCGCGGCAGTAAAAGCGGCGGATCAGCTTCACAGTACACTGTTGGAAATAGACAGTGTGAGGAAAGTGGAGCCAGCTGCCTTATCACTCGTGCAACACATGTGGGCTCTTAGCGACGCCGTGAGTTTGCAATATTACTTTTTGTGTGTGATATAATGAGATTCTAAGATCTGCTTGATCATTTTAGATGGCAAAGTTAAATTTGTTATTTCCTAACATATTTTACAGGCGTCAAATGCAATAAACAAAGAGTTTTACTATTACTGATAAAAGACGAAATATTTTCCTAACGACTTTTTCGCATATTATCTACTCATAGTGAGATAATAAACTGTAGGTATAGTGGTCGTGAAATTCAGGGACATAGTGAAACTATATAATATGGTATTCCATTAGGCCAGCGCGAACGTACAACTTTGATTTTGCCCTTTTTGAATTTCTTTTTAGTAAATTTTTACTTCAATTTGGGTAAGATTCTTGTGATTTCCTCATAAGATAACTTGGTGGCCTAAAAATTATTCAAAGAGGAGTAAAACGTTCGTGTTTCTGTTCTCAATCTCTAGATGTTGCACATTCGTATACATATATGCATGTACGAGTAGAAAGGTACAAACAGATGATTCTTATCAGGTGTCCGCAGCACGGGCACCAGTCGAAGGTGCCGTGTGTGCACTGTTCCGCAGCGCGAGCAACGATTGCGCGCGTCATATTCTGCCAGCCCTTGTTGCACGAATGACACGCGAGCCTCTACCTGCAGCGCTGCCACATGCGTTGCTGCAAAGAATAGCTCTGCATAATGTCGTCGACTTAATTTTTGATCCAGATGTGATCGGGGTAAATACAATCTTTTTTTTTTAATGGATTTCCGTCGGGCCGATAGTATTACCTAGGCACAATAACTTTTTATGTTTTTATACATGTAGCTAATCCGTTTAAAAAATGACTCAGGTCAAATCAAGGTCAACGATGGATTTTATTGGACATCAAGATGTTTCTCCTTCATTATCTCTGAATACAATCTACTTCTGGTTTAGGTATCAGGAAAAGCAGAGACAATTCAAAATGCACAGCTACGTGGAACGCTATGTTTGGCGCGAGCAGCTGGACCCGCAGCTGTACTGTCTGCAGTCAGGAGACGACTTGTCGGCACTGAAAGAGCTGATATTTTTTGTAATAAGGTTTGCATAACTTCTTCAGTAATTTCCAACACTGACCTCAAAGATTATTTGTTACAGTTGTGGAATAAAACCATAAAATATTGTTACAGCTAAGAGAACGGTTAAGCAAACCTGTAGAGTACATCAAACCAAGTCAGATGACAAGGTATGTAAGGTTGTTTGAACATTTACTATGAGTAATGTGCATCTTCAACGTATTAAAGGCAGAATTCTTTTAAGATATTCCCAACTTCCGCTACCGGTCAGAAGGAGAGCTAGATCGACTCCGCCCCCAGCTGCACCTCTTCCTCCTCGAAGATTAAGACCATTGCCAGATTCAGCTCCTCTACCTGGTAAATTCTTTTAAAACCTTGTTTTGAAGCTTCTATATTACATTGTTAGTATTTTAACCGACTTCAAAAAAAAGAGGAGATTCTCAATTCGGCTGTATTTTTTTTTGTATGTATGTTGCGTGATAACTCCGGTATTCGTTAACCGATTTTGATGGAAAGAGTGTACCTCGTTAGTGGTTCCATTTAAATTTAAAGAAAATATTCCACCACTAAGGGTGGCAAACTAGGAGAATAATCCGGTTTCGAAGGCAATGGGTTTCGCGTAATTTTTAGGTTTAAAGATTTTATTTCTCACTAAGAATTTTCATTAGATTAACATGAAAAAAAAAACTAAATATAGTACAGTTGAAATATCGAACGACAAAGATTGGATATAAAAATTATTCTACATTAAGTGGGTAGTTGTTATTTAAACGTGAGTTAGTTGGTTGAATCGCTAATGTGAATATTGCTATACACAATTAACAAATATATGTATATAGAACGGCCAAAACTAGAAGTGACATGCGAGTCGTTTAATTAGGACGAAACGTTTGTACTTTATATTATTATTGTATTTTGTTTATTATTTATAATGATTATATATTCTTTTTGTTTTGTTCGTTGTATTAATATTATTTTATTTCGGAAGTTTTCAGTAAGTGCGTTTTAAGCATTCGCTTGAACGTCGATATTGTTTTTGATTCTCTTATATCTTTTGGTAATTTGTTATAAACAGTGACACCTTCATTTAACAAAAATTTTTTGCCGTAATTTGTACATGCTGGGCGTATATTAAATTCTTGGTGAAGTCTTGGTCTCAACTTTGATATTTGCTTAGTTTCGCTAATAGTTATTTCAGTATGTGTAGTTTTATTTAATATTTTACGAACTAATATGCAAGTTTGATATTTGTATGTTTGCCTAAAATTCAATAACTTGGTATCTATGTATATTTTATTTGTTGATGGTAAATAATCATAATTAAAAAGTACTTTAGTCAGTTTGTTTTGTGCAGTCTGAATAGAGTCAAGAATAGTTTCTCGGAAACCGATTTCAATAAAACTTTGCAAAATAGATGTAATTCCACGAACTGAGATGATTTTTCTCTTCTATTCTTAGTATTCCGATGTCAGTGTTTTGCCACTTACAATATCTTTGTCTTTATCAGGTAATTCTCAACCCGGAAGAGACTTTATAGTAAAACGATTATCTCCAATTCCTTTGAGCGACAGGTGAGTGGATGTTTATTATAATTTAATTTTAAGCCTAGTACAAACAAAGTCAGAGCAGAATAATGTATTGCAACAAGCAGTAGCATTGTTGCTATTTGTGGTTATTGATCTGTTTCATAACTTCAAAAAAGTCGATCAGTTATGTAATGTTGTCCTAAGGATTTTCAATGATCTACTAAATATCTTTGACCTTAGACATTTAGGTGGATAAATTATTCAGTAGGTACGCTTATTATCTAGCATTCACAAATTCAAAGTTCTAGGTTAAAAGTTTACGAGAAATTGATTAAATAATTACATAGCATCGACATAAATATTGTCGGGCTCAGATAGGATTGCCAGTCGTGAGAAAAGGTACATCTGGAAGTAGGTCAATATAGCCAGCCTTACAGCAACACCCTTGTTTGTTAATCTAACTATATTAGCTAGGGTGTCAGGTTAATAAAAGAAAATACCTAAATTATAAAAAATAAGTATTATAATTACCTAGTAAATGTATCCGTAATGATCTCAATCAATTCTTATCTAATTTATGATCTTTCACGTCCGATTGAATATAAAGACCAAACCTTGGCTTCAATAGTAAAAATTGGGCCAAAAACATAAATAGTCGTAATTACAAAGGAATTACTTATTTTCCCTTATATATTCGAGCTTTGATTTGCTTTCCGTTCCACATTTGTTCGTAATAATTTTGTTGACCAATCGTTGATGGTTATCTAAGGAAAGCCACGCCAGTTAAAGCCACGTTAAGAGTCAGCTACCCCGAGAAGTCTGAGTAAACCTAATCGATAAATGCCTAGGGTAAAGTGACGAATGTCCCTGTTAAACTAAGTGATTGTCGAAAAAGTAAGAAAAAATATGGCCTTGCTGTTAATGTCAAACGCCAAAGTTTTACCTGCGGCACATAAATTGAAACACCCCCAACTTAATAAATTTATTAATATAGCTGCTACATTTGCGTAGCGAAAAGTTTGAATAATTCGTCGTTGCGTAGCAACCGCTAGCGACACGTTTCTCTCTCTTTGTCTTGATTTGACTGGGAAAGGTCTTCTTTGTTTTGATTTAACTGGGAAAGATTTAACTTCGAAAATTCCATCCTCTAAGGAAAAAACACTTTATAAGTGGTTGAAACGCTTATCGCGAAAAACCAAGAAAGAAGAAGAAAAAAAAACATTTGAGTTTTTTTCTTAGAACAAAATGTACCTAAATCTACACCAATAATAGTTCCTACTTTATATTATCCTTCTAGTTTGTGGAAGTACCTACTGCTAAAGGCTACCAATTAGGTTGTCACTTTGTTTAGATTTCGTGAGCTGAATTTCAAAGCTTCAGACAGGAAATAGGTCAACAGGTCGGTTACATATTGTGAAGAAGTTTCGAGAAAATTTATGGATGGTGACGAAGATTAATGCGCCTATACTCTTCGTCTATATGCTATCGTCTATAGACGAAGAGTATAGGCGCATTAATTTTTGATAAGATTGTAACATACTTGTTACGATTACTGACACAATGTAATTATCAAATGGAAATTTGAATATCTATTTCTATTTAATAGGGTCAAAATTATTGCTAGTAAACACGCGGGTGACAAAAACAGTTAAGTTTTAATTGCGTAGCACTACTAACCCACATTTCGAAACTAAAATTATTGGCTGGCAAGCATTCAGCCAGGGCGTTTATGGACGACCTATTTATACTATCGCTGGATCGCTCCACTTTGTGATCGGCAGGTAAATGCAGGTTAATAGATCTCAAGATTTCGAATATAGAGCTATTTTACCTACTTGTCAAATGAAAAACTTCAGAAGTTAGGTAACTACGTCAGTTTTACGTTTAGTTTAGTTTAGTTAGTTTATCAACTAACTGTGCAATAAACCTACTTAATTTATTATTATTATAAAAAAAATATTTGCTATATTCTACGACGAAAAACTAAAATAATAATTTTATTATTAGTTATGAGAAGATACTTCTTTGTTTGAGCCTCCTTTAGGTAATATAACAGTATAACAAATATGTGTAAAAACCATAGATATATGGTAAAAACACACTAAAAACAACACAGCGTCTCTTATCTTGTATTTTATTGTTGATAGGTATCCAAATGTTGCTTGAAAGAATATGCTATTAAGCAATAAGATCGCCTGTTGTTCATTATCTTCATCTAATAAAGATACATTACTGTTTTGTGTTATCATTCTAATTTAAGAAAATAAGGAGCAAGATAAGATATAATGTAGACAATATTTTGAATATTTCAAATGCTGTTAGTTACATTGGATCTTGGAACAAAATATAAAAGGTAGCAACGGCGCATTCAACAACCTTTGACAAATGGGTTTCTGTCATACGGTGGCACGGTAGCAATTTCGAGGAAAGTTAACTAATCTGCATAATGTGCAGGTAGAGTGAGTTCATCAACTTGTGACTCAATTGATCGAAGACAATATAGAGCATGGTGGAGTGGTATAGCGCGCTATGGCTACGTTGAGTAGGTGCGAGGTAAGGCCGAGGGGCGGCAGTCGTGTTAGCGTCGCGGCGGCAGGCGGCAGAGGACAGCGCACCATGCTGGTGTGGTGTTGTTCGCGGTCGGAGGTTGAGCCCGCGCCCCCCGCACCGCCACTCGCGCCCGACCTCGTTGCCGACCTACCCCCGCATACTCGGTAACACCCGCTGCCCCATGCCCGTTGCGCAAGTATCACCTGACGCGTTACTAAAATGTTATTTTATATTCGCAGGGATTCGAGCGCTTTCACGAGCTATGATGATGAAAAGAAGCCATTAGATGATCAAAAAAAAACAATTGTAAACACTATTTTCGGGGACACGACCGAAGTTCCGGCAGACCAAGCTGACGAACCAGCTTCACCACCACGATCACCATCCATCCGGGTAGAGGATTATTCAGAAAAGACCAACCCTTCGATACGCAGTGTCGAATCTCAACAAAGTATAGCTGAAAATGTTTTGAACGACTTCGGATCCCATAAATCACCGAGTGAGACTTTAGAATCTCCGATTATACGCTCGAGAAGTGAAAAATCTATACAAAATTCTGTTTCGTTGAAAAGTAGAAGCACATCCCCTAGTCCGACGAAAAGTTTTAAAAGTGGTAACCTGACGCCTGAGCCTACCAGTGACGTATACGATGAGCAACCATCTCTATGTGAAAGAGACGTTCGAACCGCCCTCGCGGAATGTATTATTCCAGCAAAACATGAGGATTGGGAAGTTATCGTAAACAGCCTATTAGAAGTGCAGCGACTAGCCGCAGATTTAGGTGCTAGAGCACCTGCAGCGAGTTGGCGAGCCGTGGTGCGCTCAGCGTCCACACACGTTCGCTCTTTGCGGTCTAGAGTGGCCAGAGCGGCTTGTTCTACTTTAGGTACTCTATTTGAATATCGCGGTCGCGCCCTTGATACTGAACTGGAAGAAGCAGCGTCATCTCTGTTAGAGCGTTGTGCAGATGTCAACAGATTTCTTAGAGCAGATGCAGCGTCAGCTTTAGTTCGGATTGCGTGTGGAAGTAACAGTGCCAGAGCTGCTGTAGCTTTATCACGTCGAGGTGCGTCGCATCGCGCCGGGCCGGTTCGCTCTGCCGCCGCCCAAGCATTATCGAAGCTTGTTCAACATAACGGAGCTAGTAAAACTCTAGATATGTCATCGGAGCCTCGAACAGTATTTCTAAGGGCGGCTGGGGAACTTCTGGCGGATGCCAATCCTGAAACTCGTGTGCACGCACGAAATCTTTGTCTTGCATTATCGGAGGATGCACGCTTTCACCAGATGTTAAAGGACGCGATGTCACCAAGCAGGTATCGAGCTATCGAGAAATATGTTGACAAACTGCGATGTCGATGAAAGATAGCTAAAAATTAATTTAATAGATATGTCAGTGATATAAGATATCCGGCCCCAAACTTGCGATTCTAAATTTATTTCAGGGAATGCTTTGTGAGCGAGGCGTTCCGCATTTGTATGTACTTACTTAATATTACACTTTATTATATAGTCTAGCAGGCTAGACGACAAAAGAATTTCGATGTTTTACAATGTTATAATTACTTGTTTTGTAACAGAATGTATTGTAATACATACCGACGTATTGCTTTATAACAAATTAAATTTCTTTTGTGCTGCGTTGTGTCATCAATTATAGTGCACAAATTATTTATGAAATTATGACTGAACTGTGCGAAAGGTATTTTTGTAGAATTAGATAAATTTAAATGAAATTGTTATCCTCCCACGGAGCGAACTTTCATAAATATACATTAATTATGTTTTAAAAACGAGCTGTTTGTAAAACTTGAAAAATTATTAAATGCATAGAAATTAACTCGTATTTTACTGTCCTGACCAATTTTCGTCGTTTTGAAACAGAGTTGTTGCCAACATCAGCATAATTAGCATTGGCAACCGCTGATAATCCGTATAAATTAAAATATCGTATCCGCATTGATATTCGCATCGTGACATTGATTTACAAACCATCCAGAAACAGACTGCAAGCCCAAAAAGCAGCTGGGTTCAACCTTTCAGAAATGTCAGTACAATTAGCAAAGCTAGGCAGGCTGATTGATGTTATGCAAGTATTTTTTTCTTTATAACAAATTTCACAATTTCATTGAAGAAATCAAAATCATTGAAAAAGCTTTTTCGAGTAGATTCAAGACAGATCTGTACATTTTTCACTTTTTTTTAAATATCTAAAATCAGCACCAGCATCCGATCCGCTGATAAATAAAAAACCTTCATCAGCAAAAAAAACCAAACAACTCACAAATATGTCTGCAACAAGTTTCCAATGATTCATTGATCTTGCTTGTGTGTGTGTAACGTATTAAACCTGCTTGAAAATAATCAAAATCTACTTGGCGGTGATTGGATTACCGTCAGTGTCACGCAATGCCAACGCGATTCCCTGTGGCCTTATTTCTGTCGCTTAAATATTTTACGATATTAAATACCACACAATACCATTAATATGGTATTCTAAGTCAGCTCTGATACTATCATTGTAAATAACAACCGTAACCACAGCACCATGGTACCCTAGTAAAATATAAAGTTCAACCGCCATCCAATAATCTTTGAAACAATGTCCTGAATGGATTTATCTGTTTCGACGCTCTTCAAGTCATTGTCGTTTCTCTTCTGGGGAATTCTTTATCTTTGGTTTGCACTCAAAAGAAATCCAGACGAATCGCCAGAATGGTGTTCGAGGGCGGTGACGCTTCTGCATGGCAGCGTAGCCGCAGTGGCCGGTACTTATCAGTGCGGACTGTTTTCCCTAACGAGATGCAGGCTAATGGGTAAGTGAAAAGAATTTTTGTTACAATTTCTCATTTTTAGTTTACCATTATCATTAATTTGTACTGACTTATTGTGTTTGACTTTTGCGAAATTGCAGGAAGTTTTTAAGGAATTTGTTAAATGAAAGAAAAGAAAGTTTGTGAAATGTTAATCGTTATAAAATCCGTCGATATATGTAACATTGTAAAATGACTGAATCATACTGACTAACTAACGACGGATACACTGATATGATGCAATGTATTTGTATAATACAACAGATTTTTCTATGTAAACTAGCATAAATACATTCACAACACTTATTTCTGAAATAGTAGATTTAATTTTGTTTAAAAAGACGATTTTTTGTTTATGAATTTTGCGAATTTTGTAACGCTATACCCTGAAAGATTTGAAAAATGTCATTTAGCCCTTTTTCCATTCAACCGCCCTTACAACCATCTCAATTATTATTTATTTGTTCAAAATTGTAAAGCATTGTTCATCAAAGTACCTAAATTATAGACGTATTGGACTGGTTTCAGAGAAAACAATGCACCACCATTACGCTCTGATGGTGTGGTCATGGGGGTACTTCGCGTTCGACCTTCTGTGGTGCCTAATATACTGGACAGACAACAAACTGATGTTGTTCCATCACTTTAGCGCCTTGAGCGGTATCAATACGTATATGGGTAAAGAAAACCATGGATGCGCCTTTGCTTGTGCTTTAGGGTTCATGGAAATCACTAACCCACTATTGCAAGCACGCTGGTTTGTAATTCAATCATGGATATATTTAGAGGAACTCTAAAAAATGCTGAATTATGTAATAAAATTTTTCGTCTTTCGGAACAGGCTAAGATCTAATTAGCCATACTGCCAGATCTTAGATTTTAATTTTTCTTCAATAATTTAATTTTCTGACAACTTTTGCAGTAAATCATTGTCTTTGCGGTGGCCACTTTGAAACCAACTCGGTTGAATTAAGAATATTATGTTAAATGATATATTGATAAGAATGTTCATATTATTATGAACCACTGGTCGCAGAATCTTAGAATTTAAATTGAAAGAAGAATGACTTCAATCGTCTTTTGATTTCAATTAAACGTTGTTTTATTGTTCGAAAACGTTAATCGAGTGAACTTAAAACGTTATAACAATACGGTTTTTATAGGTAGGCATACGTGGCTAGTGGTGCACATGATCGTAACTCCACCTTCTTTTAGAGTTCCTCTAAATGTCCAAGTATATTTGCTTTATTCAATTGGGACAAATATTAATTTTCAGCCGACTTAAAAAAAGCAGGAGGTTCCCAATTCGACTGTTTTCTTTTGTATCACACTCGTACTCAAACTCGTATCTTATAGCACAAAGTTGCTGCAATGCAAAAAATGGATTGTATATACAAATGTTGCAGGCAGATTCTACATCACATTTCCTTCATTTTCACACACTGGCTTTCGCCCATTCTTAAAGTAATGCATCCAAATTAACCCCCTTGATAAGAAATTTAAAATAAAAGAACGTTTTGTCATCTCCTGAATAATGACTCTTTTTTTTAAAGATACGAGTAAGGCGTCGATTTGTGAACCGATATTAATGATTCTTTTTTTGTTAGAAAGGGGTTTTTTGATACTAAGTGACGGACGAACAAGTCGTGCGTCTGTCGGTAAGCGTCACACCTGTTCATGACAGGGCACTGCCACTGCCCGTCACCCTGAGAGATAAGTTGAAAAGTCTCATGTGCCTGTAATTCCAGCAGCACCCTTACCCTGGCCGAGTAGTAATCCGAATAATACTACTTGGCGGAATAAATAGAAGAGGTGGCAGTACCTACTACCCTGGACGAACTCTAGAACGAAAGTAGTGATCTCATTCAAATTAAGGGATGAATCCAGTTTATTGTATTTCAGCCACATTCTTTGAACCGATTTCAACAAAACTTGACAAGTAACAACAACAAATAACAAACAAAACCTCAACAAACTTTTGAGGTCGGATTTTAACTATACTCCATACAGTCCTTTTACAATAACTTTCATTTGTAGGTTCCTCCGACACCATGGGTATAACGAAACCATTTTATTTAAAATTATTGAAGTGACGTACTTGATGTTATTCCTAACAGTTCGAGGAGTACTTGGCACATACTTAATCGTCAAGATCATGGGTGCCGATTTCGTAGAACTGCCTGAAAAACTATTCTCTCTGGTGTTATACTTTATATCCATCGCTTTTATTTATGAAATAATCGGTTACGTCCTTTACAAATACAAAACAAAACTCGTAAGTATACGTAGGTAACTTACCTTCATTTAAATAACATCTACATAGGGCGCACTATAAGTTTCCGGAATTGGCCACTTACATAAACAATATTTAAAAAGTAATTACAACATTTGAAAACGGAATTCTTCGGCTGTAGAATACAGTTTGTTTCACCTGACTGTCACTTATTTTTACATTGTGGCGTCATTTTAGAAATTGGTTGTCTACATCATGGATTTAACTCGTGAAAATTTTCGTAGTATGATTTTCTACGACTTTAAGGGTCGTATTCTAGAACTCGACTCAATGCTCAAGTCAGGATTTGAGTATGGTTTAAAGCACTCGAAATCATACACAAGTCCCTGCCATTAGAGTCGTATTTCCAGTGCAATCCTGACTTGAGCATTGAGTAGAGTTCTAGAATACGACCCTAAGTGTAATTTAACAGCTCAGCGGAGCTTCGCTCGACTTCAAACTGCTTTTGGCAATAAAGTACCATGCAAGACGACTATTTATAGCTGGTTTGCAGAATTCAAACTCGGTCATGTGAATCTTGGTGATGAATTTCGTGATGGTCGCCCGTCCACTGCTGTGAACAACAAAAACATCGATGCTGCACGCCGTATAATCAAAACAGGCAGGCATGTGACATACCATGAGATTCGGACATCTTATGGCATCAATCATCAGACATTAGTCAAATACAATCAATACTACACAAACATTGGGTGTGAAAAAGGTGTGCTCTCGGTGGATCACACGCAATTAGGCTGAGGCTCAAAAAACGGATCGCGTCACTTGGTGCAATGCAATGTTTACCAGATTCAACGAAGGGGCGTCAAATTTGGTATGGGACATAGTAACAGGTGAAGAAACATGGATTTATAGTTAAGATCCGAAAACAAAGCAGCAATCGAGCGTATGGGACTTTCGAGATGAGCCGAAGTCAACCAAAAGCCGCGCGTGTGAAGTGCCTCTAGACGGATGAGTGCTTCTTAAAACTAGACACGTGGCTACTGTTGTTTTGGAGAATCGTTATACCGTGAATACTGATTGGTACACGACCATTTATTTGCCGGACGTTACTGAAAAACTCCGTAAAAATAACCGTAAACGCCGTATCATCTTGCACCACGATAATGCCAGTTCTCACACGGCCAGACAAACAAAAACATTAAAACCAGTTACGCGGTCAACGATTTTCATCACCTAAAGAGGCTGTCGAAGAGTATAAAAAATATGTTTCAGAGCTTGTCACGGAGGAGTGGCATAAATGTTTTCAAAATTGGTTCATTCGTATGAAAAAGTGCATTAACGCTAACGGAGAATATTTTGAGAAACAATAAATTCATTTCTGAACATTTATTTGTAAGTCAATGCCATTTATAGTATTTTTTTCTTATTCATTCCGGAAATTTATAGTGCGCCGCACGTAGTGTACGCGTACCAGAATCTCATGGCATTAAATATTAGAACAATAAAACGTCAATAAACTTTAATGTATGACCGATGTTTTCCTCATGACGCTAAAGCTCGCCCACAAATGTCTTCCCGCCAAGCTGTGGGTAAACATTATGGCAAAATCCAACTTCCCATTAAACCTTGGTTCTTCATTAGGAAATCGAACCCGAAAAATATCCCCTCTCTCTGCATTATTCGCCTTCGCTTAGCTCACATACGTACTCCTGTGTTCTTGGCTAAGATTCGTGTTCGAGACCACTCTCTGTGCGAGTGCGGTCTGACAGAGGGTACCTTCGAGCACCTGTTTTTTGACGCCTCTTGCCCGTAGACCACCCGGTTGGTTCACCTGGGTAGCCCACGGGCAATTATATTGACTGTAATCGAATCGTCACTCCTCTGTATATCCTCCCCACAGACCACATAGTGATCCTCCCCTATAAAATCCCCCGTCCCGTCAATATCAACTTCCTCTTAACGTTAGTCCACTTTTCCTTTGTCTATGTCCTGTGTAAGTTTATTAAAAAAAAAATTGTTTCTGTAATAGTCTGTTGTACTCTTTTGTAGATCTTCTCAGTGAATTTTGTCGAAATTCACTGGTCAAATTTTGAGTTAAAAACGCATGCATTCCTTAACTTGGTATTGGCGGATTTATCGATGGTATCGTCGGGGTTGTAACATTATAAAGAAGGAGAAGAAGTCATATTTTTACAAAACTACCGTACATAGTCATTTTTATTTGACATTGGCGAAATCATTGATTATTTCGATGGAGCCAAAGCATTTAAAAGAAAAAAAAAATAACCATTTTGTAGTAATAATTACTGAGAATCCGCTTCAATCCCAAGCAAATAAAATTAATAATGTTTATCGCAAAATCAGCGACGAATTAGGTGCATACGTTTGTGACGTATTCACGATTTAGAAGCGGGTCTTAAATCTTGCCGATTAGTAGGAGTAAATAAACTTACATCTTTGAAATTTTAACGAAACCAAATCAATGTTTGTGATAATGTCATTTTTGTTGGTACTTGTCGGCAACACTACAGCAGTGTGTAGACAATGATTGGTAAAAAAAAGTCAAATGGCGTACTTTAACCCATTTAGACCCACTGTCCCCATACGGGGACGTTTTTATAAGTACCCACATTTTTTACTTATTTTAGTCACCGTTTGTTTAGAAACACAATTTTAATGTCAAACAGTATGGTTTTGTGATACAAGTTATTATACTGTGATTAATTGGACTAAGTGGGTGAAATTGGTGATTTTATTTACTTCATTGAGATAATAGGTAATTGTCCAAAGATAAGTCAATATTTTTTTGTATTTACTTTAGAATTTTTCATATATTTTTAAAAGTTTCACTTGTCAACAGGTTCTACTAATAAATAATACCATTAAATCAAGAAATTTCTAAAAATTGAGCATTAGTGGCGGTATTTTAGTGGGGTGTCCCCAATTGGGTCCAATGGGCTGATTGGTACATATATTTATTTGTTTATTCGTAGGTTGAGTTTCAGCGTAAACAAAGACTAAACGATCGTTTGATGTTGTAAATGACTATCGAGGAGTTTAGGAAGTCATTGAAAATATTTTAAATGAAGAAGATGATGATGATGAAGTTAGTTACGATTTAGTAGCTATTCCTCCAGATCCGAGCTTTCTCACAGATGAAGAAGAAGGGGATGAAGATATCGCGTGATATCCCAGGGAGAGTTGAAATTTTCAATTCCAGGAACAATGATGAATGGGATAGTAGTGATGATGAACCTTTACAAAGATACAGGAGAATTGAAAGTCAGGAACCACGTTGGCGCAAATGTGATGGTTCGTATGGTAACATGCCTTCGACTGGGAATAATGTTCAGAGTCGGAGGACCAATGTTATACACGAGCTCAAAGATCAAACACCAGTCGCTATTTTTTAAACGGAAGTTTTTGACATGATAGTTATGAATACAAAGCTATATGCTGCCCAACACAACAACCATGATTTCCACATAACATCTATGGTCTATGGTGACCTGAGAGTACTTTTTGGTATTTTACTCTTGACTGGATATCATTCACTTCCATGAGAACGATTCTGCTGGTCTCTAGATGATGACTGCAATATTACTGTTATCTCCAAAGCAATGTCAATAAACATATTTATGGTTAATAAAGAAATTCTTACATTTCTGCTATAATGAAGCTGCTGCCGGATCCACCGATAAGATGTTCAAAATTCGACCACTTGCTGACTTGCTAATCAAAAAATTCCTTCAGTGGGGGGTAGTCCATGAACATCTATCGGTAGATGAATCAATGGTGAAATATTTTGGACGTCACCCAGCTAAGCAGTTCATAAGAACAATTTTGATTACCGATTCGAAACAATCAATCAAATTTTGTTTGTGTGTTGGGTTGAAAACAGTATTTGTGCCACGGGTATCAATTACGATTCTGTTTACCCTCTGAACAAGGTAAAACGATGGAATTCTGCAGAAGGAAGAAAGGTAGAAGTAGACATCCCTTTTGTGTTCCAGAACTACAACAAAGGCATGGGCGGAGTTGATCAAGCTGACCAATCAATCGCAGTATACAGATCAGCTATACGAAGCAAAAAGTGGTGGTGGGTTTTGTTTACCTACATGCTAGATTTGACTATAGCTAATACTTGGCGTCTGCATGTCTTGGCCGCTGAAGACAAACTAGACCAGCTCCAGTTTCGACGAAGTTTCGCCAGATTTTATTTGAGGAATGCAGGCACTAAAAGACCAGATGGAAGGCGTCGTAAACCTTCTTCAGTAGTGCCTAGTATGAATCTAGATGGTGTTGGACACTTTCCTCAAAAACTGCCAAGCCAGTTACGATGCATCGAGTGCCACGTGATAGCTCGTTGGCAATGTAAAAAATGCCTCCAAACGTTGTGCATCGAAAAAGGATGTTTCGAAAAATACCACTCATATGCTCATTGGCCTCATTTGACGGTGTTTTTTTTTTTCAAGTATAATAAATATTTTTGATTGGTTTTTTCTTGCTAGCCAGTAGTTACGTTATTAAAGTTTTTTTTTAATTTCGTAACTAGTCGGTATTTGGGTCCAAATGGGTTAAATGCGAGTTACTTCAAACTACAAACATAAATAAATCTATCACCCACAATGTTATATATTTTTTGTTTAATTTTAAATGTGTCAGAAATTATTTACTTTTCTTACACACAAATTCATATAGATCTTGAAACATGTGTAGGAGGATTGATAAATTTTGGTCAACGAAGTATCTAAGTAGTACATTTTTTCCTACTATATTCATGTTGCCCACTACAAATTTAACTTTGTCTAAGTGGCATCAGATTCTGGTACACCTATAGATTAACATTTTGTACATTACTAAACTGAATTTGATCTCCGAAACTATTTTCTTCTTTGTCTACTTATTTAAAACATTGGTAATTAACCAATTACATAAAAGGTGCAGCTTATTCAGAGAAAAAAAATTCAATTTAGTTTTAAAAGTTTTCAGCCAAATTACTAGTTTAAGGTAACTTACTTGAAATAAAAAGTTTTTACAATTTTTTGAACGGTTTCGAATGTCCAAAACTAGTAAACATATTTTTTGAAATCTTTAGGATGCGTACAAATCTGGCGAATGCGCCTATTTGCGAAAGGCTCGCGAGATGCACACGTGCATTACGTAGTGCGATCTGTACCTCTATCTTGAGATTAAAGTGACAGTTATCGCTAGCGAGCGACTGCGTAAAATGTTTGTATGCAAAACGTTGTTTCTTCTTGTGGCGCTAGGGGCGCGTATAATTTTCCATACAAAGTTGAGAAGTAATTTACGCCATCCCTAGCGACAACAGTCACATTAAGTAAACTCGTTGTAGAGGCATTTGTTCTCGTGCCTCTCGCGCGCAGCCATACTTGCGTGAGATGTGACAAGTGCAGCGCTTTTGCGGTCCATTTGCAAGATCTGTACGCACCCTTACATTAAACTTGATATTTGATGAAAGGATCTAAGCCAAAGTTGGATTCAATAAGAGACATATTTGACTTTGATCTTTCCGGCCTAAGGGCGCCTTCAAATTAGATGCTTATAGAAGCGCTGTATTAACACTATTGTGGCGCTGCAGCCGCGCCACTACAAATTTTCATAAAATATTTAGAAGCGCCGTTGCAGCTAGCGATATGCGATTGTATCGAAATCATTATTAATTGCTAATCCTGACATTCGAATGACGAATAAGTAACCTACTAATTTTCGTATTGGGATGATCCGAATGATCATTACTCATCAGCGGTGATCGGAATTGAGGGGGTTAATTTACCTAAACTAAATAATAACGTGGACATTCCCTTCTACGAATCCTGGGACTTCTCGAAACTGATTATATTTGAATATGCGTATTATTTATTGAAATTTGAGCACATTGGCGACAAGTTATTATTTCTGTACTTACGTATTTAAACACTACAGTCATTTATAAAATAAACATGAGATAAAAATTTTGGAATGTTTAGAAAACAAACAGCAAAAAAAGAAATTTTGTACACATTGACGTAGAAATGGGTAGTTCATACTAACAAAACGTTCATACTTTAGGTAGACTAACAATGCCGATCACTGCTAATAAGCATTAGTAAATTCTATTAGTAAGTTCTATAGACATAATGGTAAATACTGTAAACGTGACGGGGACCGGGATATTTTCATACGGACACGGCTGGTGGAGTTTCGAGTAGTTCAGAGATAAAAATCATTCGACTCGTATCGCATGATTTTGTTTGGATTTGACTTAGGCGAATGACTTGCCCATTCGAATGATTAATATTCGTAACATTCAAAATCGCATATCGCTAATTGCAACGTCACTGTCGTCGCGCCACTTTTGTAGTCACATTAAGTGAACTAAAAATTATTGAAAAGCCACAGTCGCGCTTGCCGCGCCACAGTTGCGTTTGCACAAGTATCTAATTCGAAGGCGCCCTAAACCTTTTTTTTTTTCACTTTCCATCAGGCGAGTTTATGGCCTACATCTTAAAATAAAAAAAGGGATTTTACCCATACCAAGGTCCAGACGATCCAACCTGCCTTACTTTAGGCAAAAGTACGTGACGCGTCACCCTATTGATCGATGTGAACCACTTAGCCTTTTTAAAAATATTTTTAGGGCGAATTTGAAGGATTTCTGGTTGAGATGGGAATAATATTGGACGAACATACATAGAAAGCAACGCGAATAAATTGCAAGAAAAAAGGCAAGCATGTAAAACTGAACTGTTAAAGATGACTATGTACATATACTTATATATACTTCCGGACACATAATTCGAGCCAACACGCATATTTAGTATTAAGTGCCCTAAGCTTAAACAATGTTTAATTGATCAAAACCTATTACACAAATTTGAAACTAGTATACTAAACTTCTTTTCCATAAGTCCTTGTTGGGAATTTGGTTTTGCAAAACCGGGGGAAAACTTTTTCTTCGATGATAACACTATTTTTGTATTCTAGCCTTTTACGACAAAAATGCGAGGTGGCGCGAATTATGTGTCCGGGAGTATATTAATCGAACAGATATATATTAATAAAGGTCTAAAAAATTAACTGCTTTTTATTTGTTTTGCCTGTGTTCTTAAACCCTTTGTGTGGCAAATTCCGACAGAGTGGGTTGTCAAACGAATACCTTTTAGTCACCGCCTTTTTGCACAATTAGGTACGTCTGGCACGAATCCCACTTAATTCTAGTTTTTCTTTTATGAAATGTAAATTTAATAAAATGATACTAAGTACTGAACAGTTGAAACAAAATTTTAGTGGTTTATATTATGACTGGGAAATTGACACAAGTTTTCATTTTAATCTCATACATTATATGAACAAAAATAGTAAGTAATTGTTTTTCTACATCAGAAAAAAGTTATTGTAAATGAGTTTACATGTCGATGCTTGAGAGGCAAAACGGGATAAGCGACACTTTTGGGTCATATATTCAATTTGACCAAAAGTGTTAGTTATCCCATTTTTCCTTTCAAGCGTCAATATTAACACTGTTCTGCAAACAAGCATTTAAGCTTCACAAGCTTTCTTTATTACATAATTAAATACATTTTCCCCTGCCAAAGAAACAATTTGTTTTCTTTAAAAAATCATGACAGTTCTTATTCTTCTTCTTCGTTTTGCTCAATGGCGGTTCCTTCTTTTTAAGATTTCGCCAGTGTCGAGTTTTCCGCTTAGCAGAATGTAAGGGCTACTGCAGCTGTGTTACTACGGTACAACGAGTCTTGTGGGAGGACAATGTGAGAAATGCAAGTTTTAATACATAGAAATTAAATTTTGATGCTGCGGAGCTGTTGATTTACCTGAAAGGACGGACACAATATATAAACACAAGTGTTAGTATGTTAGATAGAACAAACACATTATAATTTTATGTTATTGCTAGTTATATAATTACATAGGATAACAATAAAAGGGGAGTTAACATAATTAAGGAGTGTTTTAAAATTTGTGGGTTTGGGAATGTATGGGGGAAGGATATCATACAGTGAAACAGAATATTTGGGACAATTGAAAAAGATGTGGTCTGGAGAACCATCATCAAGCCCGCATTCACAAAGTGAGTTGTCCCTAATCCTAATTTTGGCTAAATGTACAGGAGTACTTGAGTGGCCCAGCCTTAGTCGACATAAAGTGGAGGTGCAAAATTTAGATGCTTCATTGTATTCGAAGAACCAAGGCTTCTTAGGAATAAAATTTTGAATGTCGGCGTAATATTTTCCTTTCACCTTACTAGACTCTTTCCATTCGGCGAGCCATGATGACATCATCTTTTGGGTTGCTAATGAGAATAAGTCATGACAAAATACTTGAGGGTGAGTGAGGCAACTATTATTAGTGGCATCTTTGGCCATCAGGTCAACGGCTTCGTTACCTACTATTCCTGAATGGCCTGGGATCCAGGCCAAGGAAACTCTAATTCCTTGAAGGTGGCACCTGTATAACACGTCTCTAATTTTCAGGATACAAGGGAAGTTGGATTTATTACGGAAGGGGTTGGACAAAATAGACTGGAGACAACTTTTAGAATCTGATAAAATGACAGTTTTATCAACATTATGCGACTCTGTATATAGGAGAGCCTCAAGGATAGCAATGGCTTCACCCGAAAAGACTGAAGAGACCGGTGGGCATTTAAATTTAAGAATTATTTTATATTTGGGAATCCAAACAGCAGCACCAACACACTCTTGATCAGATAGCTTTGAGGCATCTGTGTACATAACAAGCCAGTTGTTCCATTTTTTACTGATGTAGTCCTGTAACCGAACCTCAGCATCAGTGGATTTTTTACTGATGCCTACGTCAAGAGAGATATCAGGTTGATATACTAGTGAGTGATAAGGATTGTCAAATAGAGGGTTTAGGACACATTGGTGCACTGGAGAAGGAAGTCGCAGAAATTTAAGGAAGCTTCGGAACAAGGATGGAGTCGTTTTATGTGTCCAGAATTTATCGTATGATATAAATTCTGATAATTGATGAAGTTTATCGATAAGCGGATGGGATGAATTTTGGATAACTTTGAAAAGGAATCTGTCTGCCAAATATTGCCTTCTAATGGATAAAGGGGGGTCCGAGCATTCCACCTGTAGGGCGTTAGTGGGAGAAGATTTCATAGCTCCTACTACAATTCGGAGAGACTTATATTGTATTTTGTCTAGGGCACTTAAAGAGGATTTGTTACATGGTTCCAGTAGAAAAGCTCCGTAGTCTAGGTGAGATCGAATTAAAGCATTGTACAGTAGTTTCTGGCACTGTGGGTGTGCTCCCCACCATGCTCCAGACAGTGAACGGAGAATATTAATATTTTTCTCGCATTTTTTAAGAATATGTGTAATGTGTTGAACACCTGTCATTTTTGAATCAAATATAACTCCAAGGAATTTGGCTTGAGTTTTCAAAGGAATGGGCTGATTATCATATTTAATAATAGTATTAGGAGTATTTCTCGCACGGGAAAAGATGACCATGTTACTTTTCTCGACCGACAACGAAAGGCCGTGGTCGGATAGCCAACCATAGAGGTAGTCCAGAGCAGAATTAAGGCGGGCAGAGGCAGTTTCGGTATTGCTATCTGAAATGTATAAGGCCAAATCATCGGCATACTGGAGAACGTTGCAAAATGGATTGAGCGACAGCTCAAGGTCATATGTGTAGATGCTGTAAAGAAATGGGCTTAAAACTGACCCCTGTGGGAGGCCTCTCCAAACGGTCCTTTGTGGTAAAAGTAAGTTGTTAACACTCACTTGGATTGAACGGGCAAAGAGGAGATTAAAAATTATATTAACAAGCCTCACGGGAATACTCAGATTGAGCAGTTTCTGCCTGAGTAGCGGAAGCAAAACATTATCATACGCTGATGATATATCTAAAAATACTCCAATTATATGCTCCCGTTTAGATAAACCAATCCAGATGTCAGTCAGGAAGATGCTTAGACTGTCCATTGTACTAACGCCTTTCCGGAAACCGAATTGGCTTTTGGCCAGTATACCCTTGCTCTCCACAATCCACTCAAGGCGATTTTTGATAAGATGTTCTAGGACTTTGGACATTGTGCAGGAAAGGGCTATGGGTCTATATCCATTAGGGCCATTACTTTGTTTACCAGGTTTTAATATGGGTATAACAATTTGTGTTTTCCATTCTTCTGGAGGGAGCCCTGTTACAAATATACAATTGAGGATACTAAGGAACAACTCTTTATTTGCATTACCGCTGTTAATAATAAAAGAGTATGGAATCCCATCCACCCCAGGGGCAGAATCAATGAGGCCTCCCAGAGCTGCTTCGAGTTCCTCTCGAGAGAATGGATCATCAAAAACTGTGTGTGGGGAAAATGATGGGGGTACACCCGAACGGATTGCAATGTCTGTAGGAACTGAAGGAGGAGCCAGTTTATTTTGAAATTGATCAAGCCACTCTGCGGTGTCATTGGAACTAATGTTGCTGGTGCAAGACATAGCACCCCTAAATCTTTTGATATTCCTCCAAACTAATGAAGGGGGGGACCTTGGTGAGAGAGTTGCACAAAATCTATGTCAGCCAAATTTTTTTTTTAGAACTTAGTGTTCTTGTAGCTTTTGCTGCAGCTGCACGGTATATTATAAAATTGGATTCTGACATTGTCTGGGCATATATAAGTTCCGCTGTTTTTCTTTCTTTGCAGACTACAGTGCATTCGGAATCCCACCAAGGTGGAGATGGAGGGTACCCCTTATATATATTTTTGGTAGGGAAGGATTTTTCTGCTGATGTGAGCAGGCAATTTCTAAAATCAATATAAACTGAGAGGACATTGTCAGGATTGACTACAGGAAGATGTTGGGTTTTTTGTTCTAAAATACTACTATATTTTGACCAGTCAGCCTTTGCCAAATTGAATTTTAAATGAATGCGTGGAATACCGTGCACATTACTACGGTCCACACGGTGCTGTGTTGACTCTATGATGATGGGGAAATGGTCACTGCCATGTGTTACTGGCAAGATTGTCCAGATAAGTCGGGAGGATATGGATGGGGTGCATAGGGACAGATCGACAGCGCTTCTAATATTTTGAGATGGATAAACTCTACGCGTAGGGGAGCCATCATTAAGGATGCAGAGATCATATCTGTCAATGATGTCCAAGAAAGAGGAAGATAAATAGTCATTAAAGTATGAGCCCCAGGAAGTGTGGTGGATATTAAAATCACCCAAAATTATAAGCGGGAGGCTCAGATGGGAGAGAATATCAGAAAACTCAGCAAGGCATGCATGGTTGGGGTGGGGTATGTAAACCGAGAGGTAAGTTACTTCGAGGGATTTGACAGATACTGCATTGATATGTTCACTATGGGGCGGGAGGGAGATCTGAGAGAAAGGAATAGATCGCGACACAAGGAGGGCCGAACCTCCTTGTCCATCTGTTCTGTCGTCCCGGAGACACGAGTAACCCGGAAACCGAACTCGGTCGCCAGGCCTACGCCGCATCTCCTGAACGGTAAAAACATCAGGAGAGTATTTATTAATTAGAAATAATATTTCATTTTCTTTATTCTTGCTGCTCCGGCAGTTCCATTGGAGTATGGGAGCCATTGGAAAAGGTAAGATTAAGGAGCTGAGACAGTTGGTCTTTGACATTGTTCGGTAGGGGGACGTCACTAAAACGACCCAAAAGATTGATGATGGTTGATAGAAGTAAAGATATTAGATTATCATTCGGCAATGAGGGGGTATTTGGCAATGCGCAACCATTTGAGAGTTGAGACCTAGGAGGCTTAACTATGTCCCTATGAGCTTGCTGATTAAATCCTGGACTAGAGGCAGGGAGGGGTTGATGTCTAGAAGTATATACTGTTTTGCGGTAAGGAATGGATTGCGGAGGACTGAGTTGCGGGGAAAGATGGTAGGGGGGAAGCATAGTGAGGGGTTGGAGAGGGTTGGAAACCACGAATGTCCGCCCTTGCTGTATCAGCAAAAGATCTTCGGACTTGGGCAAATCTGGCAGATGCTTCAGAGTATGAAACATTATCCTGGGACATAGCTAGTTTAATATGTTTCTGTCTTATTTGTTCAGGGCATAAGGGATCTGTTGCTTTATGGCAACCAGAGCAGTACAGACAAGTTGGAATTTCCTTGGTGCAAGATATGCCCTCATGGGCTTGTGCGCAAATAAAACAACGAGCTTCTGATCTGCATTGAGTCTGGATGTGTCCAAACCTGCAGCACTTGTTGCATTGGATCGTTGGAAGGACGTATGTTTCTACTGGGAGTGAGGTAAAGAAACAATAAACATGGGAGGGCAGTCTTTGTCCAGAGAAGGTTAGTACCACTGTCTGGGTGGGGATCCATGAAGGCGAGCCATTACTGTTGTAAGTTTTCCTGTTTAGCCTGCGAGCCCTAACAATAGAGCCATAACCTGTTGGTGTCTCCAGTGCTTCTACTAATTCTTCCAGAGTCCATTCTACAGGAACTTGCCGGACAATACCCATTCTGGTTACACTGTAGCTGGGAATAATTGCCTCATATTTAGCTGGGGAAAGAGCAGGGTGTTCAAGGAAAGCATTAGCGTCGTTATAAGATTTAAATTCAATGGAAATTCTATTTCTACCAACACGTTTCACACCATCTTTAATAATATTTTTAACATTAATTTTATACAAAAAATGTCCAAATTTAATGGGGCGCAATGCCGTTCCAGACGCTTGATCCGACACAATTTTATTAACGTGAACAATAAATGGGGCCGAATCATCGTCCGTGTACTTAATTTTCGTGTCCAAGAATTTTGGGTTGTTGTATGTAGATTGAATAGAAGGGGATGATTGCCCGGTATTAGTTTTTTTGGAGGGCAGGGATGTTTCTTCGGTTGCGGGGGCTCGTTTTCTATTTTGGACCGGATTGTCTAACTCCATTATGTCCACTTGGGATTGTGTAAACAATGGCGGAGATGACCGAGCACGTGGCTCGGCATCGCCTCCACCAGGATCGGGGGGGCTCGGACATTTACAAGACAAACACAAATATAAAGCAACTACTTATCTATCTACTCACCAATATAATGTATAATAACCACAAACCAGTTAACTAAACACATAAGATAGGTCAACAGGGGATATAAAAATGGAAATTCGCCAAAACACAAACAGCCTCTTGCAGTTCCCAACCGGAAGTCCACAGTTCTTATTAAAGGGGACAATTAACAAGGAAAGTGAAGATGGAATAAGCTCATTGCTTTATTTTACTTTTGAAAAATGTAACATCTTAAATGTATTGTGTTGGACACTGATAAACAATAATGTGTCAACAATATGAACATAGTCTTGCGAAAATGGCACATAGACTTTTTGTTGTATTTGAGGTTGATGTCAAATTTACTTGTAAAATTAAAACTTTTGGGTTGTCACCTCGGGAATGAAGAACAGTTGTGATTTATTACTATAATTTCCCAGCAACAACAAGCACAACAGCAAAAGTTTTCAATTTATAAGTAAATTTTAGAACAAAATATAAAAAACAATGAAAAAAATGTTAAGGTGCCATGTTCGCAAAACTCTGATCATGTTGGTCGACACGGTATTGCTTATTAGTATCCAATTAATTTTGTTCTTAAGAGATACCAGCTGAAATGCGAGAATATGCAACATTCTGTCATTGAAAAATCTCAAAAGAACTAAAGCTATTTAGTCTCGCCGGTGGTAATTGCCTCTTCTATGGTTCCTCCTATCTCTCCAGTGGTTTGAGGCTCTGTTGTCTCTATCCCTCTCTCTATGGTCTCTTTCTCTAGGTCTTAAGTCATTGTGTCTATATGGGTGATGCCTATTATGCCAATTGCCCTGTAAACTGGCCATTACTAAGGCATCTCGGTCCTGCTCTCGAGGCCGTCGCACCGTTGTCAAGTCCTCGCCTTCCAGCCTCGATGCCATGTCAGCGAATTGGGAACGTATCTCATTTCCACTAGGCACAAATTCCTGTGGCGTCTCCGGCCCGTAACATCGAATTGGCGGCGGCAAAGGCACCATACGCCCACGACATTGCAAGTTCAGTGTCTTATGAAAAAGAGCTGTACCTTTGAATATGAAGATTGCGTACGGTACCGAAACCGCGTGCCGGTAGGTAATAAATGCAAAATTCTTCTGCCGACCATCTCTATCTTTCGCTATCCTCACTTGCTCCAGGGGTCCAGCCTGTGGAACAAAAAAAAACGGTTTCATTTGAGAACAAACCTAGAAATTTGAGTAATAGCGCAATAATCAAAATTAAATATACCTGCAGAAACAACTCGTATAAAATCTCCTCAGTGACTTGATCTGACAAGTTCCCACACCACAGCGTTTTACTTTCTTCGTCATACATCATTCAACGCGATAAAACAACTACCTAATTGGCAATAATTATATTAAAAGTGCGCTAAAATTATGAAATCATAACAATTTTTTTGTTCTCTTATAGTTTGGCACTATGGCGTCTAGCCTTTGGCCATATGCAATTTCCATCACAAACTACTTCCACTAAGTTGCAAACAACATGAATTTTCAAACTAAGCAAGTGTTCCACGTTCCACGTAGCTAGAGGTGGGTGATAAATAACGTCACGATGAAAAAATCACGATGATCCGCGGGCAAACAGTGTTACCGTGACTCGTTCCGAAGGAACGACGTTCCAAAGTCACATAGGTGTTCTTCCGTTCCAATAGCTTTCTTCATTCTTTGCTCACTCACAAGTGTCGTAGGTGCTTATAACTTATACTACTAGAAAGGGCGGATGAAAAAATCTGCAGCAGTTATTATAAACCTATTTATGAACAAAGTAAAATATTTTTGTATACTTGTTTTATTATAGGAAGAGTTGGTATTTTATATTTATGTATAATCTACTTCGTGTATTCTACTAGAAATATAATTACATTACACTTTATTGCTATTTTTAACAATCCAAAGATTCGTTTAAATAAGTAACAAAGAAAATTACATGAAATACAAAATCAACTTTTCGAATGGAATTGAAACTTATTACAAAGAGAGTAAAAACTTAAATCATTCTATAAAAAACGGCTAAGTATTAGAAAGAAGCCGCTGGCTAAAACCGTATATCGTGATGTAAGTTATAGGCGTGACAAGGTCACGGAAGTAACAGTCGTGACAAAATCACGATGATTTATCACTGTGATGTTTTTGGAACCGGAACGACAGTCACGGCGATAGAAATGTAACGCTATTCCCCATGTCGAAGCCACTTTTGATTTTATTTAAGGAAGAGCCATCATGCCTCGAGCAGTGTACAAAACTAAATTAAACTAATCTTGGAACAAAAAAGTAACCTTGAGTCTATAACCACAGACTACGAAGAAGATACTACGTATTCTGTAACTACCGAAAAGGGATTTGACTACTGGAACACATTCGAATCGAATTGCTTGTAGTTCTGTATGGCAGTCCGCTGCGCAGCTAGAAGACTGTTCACACACTATCCTGCATATGGCCCACGTATGCAGTCTCGCAGGAAGCATTGCACAATTGCAGGATGGCCTGCACGCTGCGACTACATTCATAATCCCGCATTATGCGGCAGACGGCTAGGCGCACTGCAATACAGGCTAATGAGTTTTTGAAGTGCCCGATTTCCGAATATTGCATTCACTCATGCAAATCCGCCGCGCTGGGAGAAGACTACTCACACACTGAATGAATTCTCCTGACCGTTTTCGTACCACGGCAACTGCTTCAAGTCCGCTGTTGGTGGAGTTCGTGCGCTCTCACTTGGCTCACGTACCCAATCTTATTTGCAAAGATCCGTGCGCACAGGGGGCACGTAAGCACACCGTCAATGTAACAGTAGCTGATCGCCACAGGTAGTCGGGCTTTCAGCTGGTCACGTCTGACGTCCAACTCAATTCGTCGACGAGAATCAAATTGTGACGTTTCGTTTGCCACAAAAGATCTCCATTGCGGGCGATCGGCTGCCGTTTCTCGCACTCTGTTGGGCCAATATCGCAATTTTTCATGTGGCGCTTAAGCACATCTTTATATCTAAGGAGTTGCCAGCCATGCTTTCGCTTGCCCCTCTTGAGTTCCGAATAAAAGATGCGCTTTGCCATTCGCCCCTCTGCCGTCCTTGATATATGGCCTCCCCAACGAAGTTGTCGCCGCATAAGGTATAGCTGATGTTTAATATTTTACGAAGGCATTTCAGGTGAAATCGGTTTACTGTGCGGATATGGCGACGATACACGGTCCACGTTTCAGCAGAATATAAGATGTTAAGAAGTACAACAGCCATGTAAATGGAGACTTTTGTAGCCAGCTTCAAGTCATGCGAGCGTAAAACTACGTTATCCGCTTACCAAACGCTGCCGCGGCGGCCGCTATTCTGCTGTTGATTTCAGCATCAAGATCACACGTGGATGTTATCGTGCTCCCCAAGTAGCGAAACTTGTCGACCTGCTTCAGTACATCATCGCCAAGTTTGACAGTCAGTGTTTCCCGACCATGAATATTCAAGGACATTACTTCCGTTTTCTTGACACTGATTTTAAGGCTAAATCTGCCGCTCGTCTGGAGATTCTGCAAGAAAGCATAAGTAAAACGATCACGATGCATACTACACCCCTAGAGCCTCCAGTGTGCAGACATCAGACAACGCCCGGCTAGCATCAAACCGGACCTCTCTTCCTCAACCCATCGCCACTGGACTTTACGTCTATATTGGAGTCCTTAATTCGGAAGTAGTTAGTTGCGCAGGAGATATTATAGTGCACAAACGTACGCGCAAAACGCAGGTGCACTCTCTCGTCCTAGTTCTCTTATTTCCGATGGAACGCTGAACCGTTACGTGCAGAAGAGAGTTCGGATGCAGTGTCTGGTGATAGTCATAAGTTCTCAAGTTACCACCTTGGCCTTCCACAATGCCTCCCTGATGACTTGCGCACAACAATGCGGGAAGTTTCCGCTCACGTAGGATACTCTAGGAAGGGAAATAGGGAAATGAGGATTGGATTAGAGGTCAAGGATACGAGTGCCAAGGAGGTAAAGGAATTGTGGTACTGGTAACTCAAGGAATCCGGGGCCGCGTACCCGTATCTTGACTAATGACCAACGGACAGATGAACATAGTAAGATCCTCTGAATGTAACACTCACACACTATCCTGCGTATGGCCCAGCATCGGTTCTAATGAATTTCTTGCGCGTATCGGTTAACTTGCACATCAATATGCAAAAGACGCGGGATGTCAATAATAAGAATTGCTGTTTCACTTTGCTTTTTCTTGTTATTGGAAAAAAAAAATCTGAGAGAAGAATTTGTTAGCTGTTCGTAAGAGAAATTATAAACGAAATTAACCCTGATGATAACCAAACTATTTGAGGAAACTTTAAAATTTTTGTTAATAAAGTGTGGTTAAGGGTCTAGTAAAGTGTGATTAAAGGGTCGTATTCTAGAACTCTACTTAATGCTCAAGACAGGATTTGAGTATGGTTTAAAGCACTCGAAATCATACTCAAGTGCCTTCCATTAGGGTCGTATTTCCAGTGTTTGAAATCATACTCAGATTCTGACTTGAGCATTGAGTAGAGTTCTTGAATACGACCCTTAAAATAGCAAAGCAAAGCACCAATGATGCATGACAGTATTTCTGCTGAGGAAAGATTTATGGCCGTCACAAAAACGATAGTGGGTCTCAAGATTTTTCAGTAGGACTAGCACAATAGGGTGCGACTTGCGCGAGAGCGACATAAAGCGCGAGAGCGACATAAAGCGCGAGATACTCTCGCAAGTCGCGCCCTGTCGTGTCAGACCTATGATTACGGCTATGTTACGGCGTTTGTCTATAGTTGCGTCTGGAATCAACAACATTCACTCTCCTGCGCTCAAAACGGCAGTCAATAACGCATGACTGGAGGCGGACTGCTGTAGCGGTGAGTGGAGTTTACTGGAGTCTCGCAAGACGCAGAGGGTATCCTGCTTGCTACTTGCTACACTGCGACTATATTCATAATGCCCGCTTTTAGGGGCCCATTCATTATCTTAGATTTCAGTACACCTAGCCGTCCACCGCGTAATGCAGGACTATGAATGTAGTCGCAGCGTGCATGCCATCCTGCAACCGTGCAATGCGTCCTGCGAGAATCCGTACGTGGGCCATATGCAGGATAGCATGTGAGCAGTCTCCTACCTGCGCTGCGTACCGCCATGTAAAGAATTGGCCGTTTAAGGCTGTTAACAGATGGATTGTACAGTCGTGATCAGCTGCATGCAGCTGTGACTTCGATTTTGTGAAATTGATATGAACAATTTTAAGAGGACATATTATATATTTTGTGTCTGAAATCTTCATCATTTATCAGTAACGACAAAAGGTTACGATTGCTTGTGGATTTAATCAGTGTAACATGGTAAAACAACATGATTGGTGAAACTTTTCTCGACAGATTTATTTCACATTTGCACATTTTTTTAATATAAATTGACTTCGAGCATGTAGGCCGTCTGATAACGCATGTGGCGCTTCGTTAAAACCACTCCGCAAGTATGTTGTCCAACGTGCCATTTGACTTGTTAATATATTGGCAACGAGTGCCTGTGAGGTACCCTTTAGCAATGATCATAATTTAGTAATATTTATATCTAATATACATACATTCATGTATAATTATGTTTCTTGTATACAGAAAAGACTTGGCTGTATGGTTTTAAAATCTTTGCCTTTTCGTTGACGGCTAATAAAATTGACATTAATTTATCGTACTATATAGTAGTTTGTGGTACATGGTTTTTGTCGTACACCGTGTATTGTATTGTACGAATTTGTATGACATTTGCCTGATATTAATTTCTTTCAAATTCTTTCTAATGCAGCAAAATCCTGAAATGTCTCACTGTGTACGTATCGAGAAAAGCAATGCTTGATTGACGGCGCAAACTTTTCCCTCGTTTTTTCTCGTTAGTACGTAATCTTTTGGACTGCTTTAAGGTTATACTCCGCGGTACTTCACCATCACCATGGAAGATCCTAGTAAATACCAGCAGATGCAAGATGAAATGTCTAGGTAAGTCAGGAACACGTCAATAACGTCTATAATACATATGTATGTAATATGCGTTGTTGGTACTTCAAATTGCCAACTTAGTTGCTTTTGCATTACCTACCTAAATAGCCTTTTCTAGAACTGTGAACAAGTTGCAGCTCTTTAGGTGTTTTCATCGTACCACGAATGGTGTTGCATCAGTACATTCGTACTTACTACGTAAAATCGAAATAGCTGTCTAAATTTGTCTAATATATTCAGGTTCGAAGCCGAGATATCGGGCGCTGAGGCGTCCGCAGCCGCCGCGGCCGCTTGTTCTGGTTCTTCTCGACCGGTGATCGGATCAGCGACGTTCGGCGCTGTGCAACAGCAACTTGAACAGGCCATCCCACCTCCACCACCTCCACCGCCGTTGCTTGGCGGCCCATTTGACCATGGTATGATGGGCTCGAGGATGATGTACCCTACAGTGCCGCCACCGCCGCCGCCGCCTAGTATGATGGTGCCCGCATCTGTAAGTTCCCATGGAATCTTGTTGTTATAAACATATTAGTATGATGGCCGTGTGACTTAATTGTTAGCACTGTGTTAGAGCGTGTTGCCATTCCATTGTGAGGACAGATAATTGTGCACAACTTTTTTGATGTTATGATGACATATAGTTATGACAATGGGAACAGCTAGAGCGATAGTTCTCCACTGATAAATAAAATGTCACGATAATAATGTGATGACAGATAATAGCAGCTTCAAATGATTCTGTCTCTGCATGGCAGACCAGCATGGTAACCGTTCGGCCACAGAGGCAGTACTTTACAAATAAGATCACACTGGGTCACAACAAAAGAACAAAATTATGGTGAATAAAGTTCAAACTTACAAAAAAAGATGGTTAAATGGGATGTGCCAAAATTAGGTACATAGTAATTGCGAAACAAAATTACTATCACGTTTCATCGTATGATACCACCTCACGAATTGTATGATGTGCAGAGGCATTACAGCAGGCCATCGTGTACTGCGTAGAAAGACTGCAACTTACATGAAGAACTTATTATTTATTATATATATATTATTTTATTATTATTTTGTTTCTACTCATCTTTAAGCATCTGCCTAGTCGGCACATATTGGATTTTTTTATTGTGTCTTTCCCAAGTCCGGATTTGATTTTGTATGAAAAATTATTTCTTGTCATATATTTGTGTGCGTCACATGTAAATATAGTGCATAAAACCTATTAATGCGGAGTTCTCGGATGATATTTTACACGATCGTACCATGAGAGTGTGCTCTGCATCTGGCAGAAAGCTGTGTTGCCTATTTTATGCATTAGCATTGCCACTACTAACTTGTAATAATGTTGTGATGCACAATATAAACGCAAACCGCACCAGTGTTAATTTGTACAAATGTAAATTAATTAATTATTAATCAAAGAATATTAGAGCAGCATTCCGTATTATGAGTGTTGCTTTTTGCTAGGGTAGGTAGTGCCCATTTGCCTCTATGAGGTGCACGCCACTGTCTCTTATATAGGTACTCAGTTATCTATTTTTTAGTTTATCATCAACTGTGTGTATAATAACAAAAATATGAAATATACAGGATTTTTATCATTGTATGAGATTTTAGTATATTTTTTTAAAATAAAAATTAACTTGTTGTACAGATAGTTAAGACTATCCAAATAATTAACCATAAATGATGATCTTACAGGTGCAGCGCCTACGGCCCCCACCATCTTCCGAGAGCTTCTCACAAAATCCAATCACATTCCTCCGTCCAGGAGTGCAAGGGCCCCAGTTGATCCCACCACCTCCAAAACCACAACCTGTGGTGCTCTCAGCTGCCCCTAAACTGTATAAACAGCCAAAGGAGGATTTGGAGAGAAAAGAGAAAGAAAGCCGAAAGAGGGTATGCATAATATTAATTATTATACAAATACAAATACAAAATGCTTTATTTCTCTCAAAAAGGTTTACAAAATGCAGATTATTTACATTTCATGTTAAATAAGAAGCACCTTAGTGAGAGCTGCAGTCTGTACTAGGTTGGGGACCTGTGTTACAGATCACCAGGCTCACACCCTTTTGACAAGTTTATCAGAAAAGTAACACTAATAAAATTTAATAAAAATAATGAAAATTAAAGAGTAAAATAAAATTGATTGCTAATTAGAATATAAAACAAATAGAAAAAATAGAAAAATCTCTGTGCGTGTGTGTTTGTGTGCGTGTGTTTGTGTGCGTGTACGTGTGTGTGCGTGTACGTGTGGGTGTGTGTGTGTGTGCGCGTTGGGGTGTATATATGTGTAATATAAATTATTTTAGTATAGTTAATAGTTTTTCAGTCGAGTCATAATTATTGTGTGTGATAATTTGTGAGTCAGTAATATTTTTTTTACATTTCGCTCTGCATAAGGGGTAGACATTAGAATGCTGTTTATCTTATTATGTAAATAGCCTCCCAAAAAACAGAAATGACGCTGTGCACAACTAGTGGAAACTGTAGTCGAAGGGCAGACAGTGCATTTACGCCGAACAGTGTTTATTTTGTCAGAGTCGAAGGAGATTTGAGTGTGTTTGGTTAAAGCCGTGTGAAGGATAAACAGCTGACGTACTGAAAGAACCTCACAGGTTTTGTAATGGTCAGATGTTGGATATCTGAAAGGAAGGTTCCACCCCACCTTGAGTATCGCACGTTGCGCTCGTTTCAGCCGAAGAAGTTGCTGCTTGGAAGATCCACCCCAAACTGTTATGCAATATGTCGTGATAGATTGACAGAGAGCCAAATACACAAGTCTCAATACTTTCACGTCAGCAACGAGACTGAGGTTTTTAAAAACATAAATTAATTTACGTAACCATAGGGAAAGACTCTCAATATGATAGCTAAAAGAAAGTGTGCTATCTAGCTGGACTCCCAAGTATTTGATGTAGTGAGTGCGTAGTAAGGGTGGACAAGAGCAGGAATTTTTAGAAAAGGAAGGACACGAATGAGCCGTGACAGTGAAAGAGGTGGCGGATGGAAGACCACGACTTGAAAGAGAGAAAGGGAGACCCTTTGTTTTATCCACGTTAAGGGTGAGAAGATTCTGAGAAAGCCATGCAGAAACTGAATTAAAGCCCAATTGCGCATAGTAAAACACGGACTCCCAGGATTCGCCAAAGAATATCAAGGCAGTGTCGTCGGCATATGTAAAAATAGAACCGTTTCTTAATTGCATGTTACATAGGTCGTTAATATACGCTAAAAATAAGGTAGGGCCGAGAATACTGCCTTGGGGCACACCATACGTGATCGGAAGTTCCTTACTGTTTAAATCTCCAATCCTAACATACTGTCGTCTATCAACAAGATAACTTACAAAAAGGTCAAGCTGAAGTCCTCGAATACCCAATCTTTCCAGTTTAGTGATGAGTAGTGGTACTGATATTGTATCGAATGCTTTGGCGAGGTCGAGGAAAACAGCCATCACCTTCTGCTTGTTATCAAGTTTAGCAACGACTTCGTTAGTTAGGTCTGATACAGCATTATTTGTAGAAATACCAGGCCGGAAACCATACTGAGACGTAGACAACAATTTATTTTTTTTCCAGGTAATTCATCAGTCTACTATTTAAAAGTCTCTCTAGAATTTTAGACAGGGTGGGCAGAATTGAAATAGGTCTGTAGTTGTTTATTTGACCTCTGTCGCCACTCTTGAACACCGGATGAATTATAGCGAGCTTGAAGGCCTCGGGGAAGACACCGGTACTAAAGATTACATAGGAACGTTATTGGGGAAACTAAAATATGTATGAATTTTTTTAAAAAGGAGCCAGAAATGCCGTCATAGCCCACAGCACAGTCACTACGAAGATTCGCCACAATTCCCTCCACCTCGACCTCATCAGTAGGTAACAGGACAAATGTGTTTGCACTAGAAATAAAACACGAATCAGAGGAATGCTCAATGGGACCCGCGGGGATACCTTCAGCCAAACTACGTCCAATGTTAGCGAAATATAAATTAATATTGTCTATTGAATTAACAGGACTAGCAGATACGAGTTCAAGCGCAGGTTTTCTCTCTTTGGAAGCGAAAGAGATGTTCTTAATAACTTTCCAAAGTTTTTTATTGTTATTTTGAGCATTACGTAACTGCTCCCTGTCATATTCAGATTTAGCTTTATATAAGATTATCGAGCAATAATTTCTATATCTCGCATAGGTGGTCTTGAGGACATTATCTTTTGGTGATTTTTTTGACTTTCAGGTGAAGCTGGTCACGATTTCTGAGGCTCCTTAGAAATCCCAGAGTCATCCATGGCTTCTTAAGTGTTTTACGATTTGAGACAACTTTGATAAGGGTATTTGCCGTTATGGCACGGTTTAAGGAGTTAAGAAAATAGGGAGTAGCTAGGTTTACTTCTGTCATATTATATAATTGTTTAAAATCAAAGTTTAAAAGGTCAAGTTCTAAATTTACATAGTCAAGTAATTTAATGGTTTTTGTTTTTTGAAAATTTGCTATGGAAGGTGTAGCTTTAAGGAAGAATAAAACAGAATCATGATCGGTGATTGATGTATGCGCTATAAAACAGTAGGATGGGCATTTTGTTTTTAAAATAACGTGGTCTATACAAGAGTAATTATTACGAGTGGGGAGAGAGTGAGCAGGGAGCATCCCATGGAAGGCAACCATAGTCAGATAGTCGGAGGCACGCAGATCACTTGAGCTCGTGTAAATGTCAATATTTATGTCTCCTACAAGTACAATATTACTATATGTTGTGAAACGTTTCAGAAGTTGATCTAAAGAAGAAAGAAAATTAGATATATTATACCTAGAAGGGGGACGATTAATACCTATTAGGATTGTGGTTTTATCTATGATCATTGTCAAACAATTTGCGTCCTCCAAAACAGAGTCAATTATTGATATTGAGAGAAGAGAACGGTAAAACACAACCACTCCCTCATTCTGAGAGGTGTGGAAACTAGTGCTGGTATATTATAAAGTGGCATGAGGACAATACAGGGGCTAAAAAAGTTTTATTCATTTTTTAGGATTTTATTTTGGGAATTATACAAGTAGTCAAGTTAGCCACCATGCAATCATACTATTTACGAGCAAGTTTGATGAAAAGGTTGTTAATGGTGTTTGTAGAAGCGCGAGCCCCCGCCGCCACCGAAGCTGGAGCCTCCGCGCTTGCCGACCCCGCCGCCGGCACCTACCCCCATCACTGTAGCCGACATCGTCGCGCCCAAGGGCAAGAAGGAGAAGAAGAACCGAAAGGTTGGTGCTGTAACCACCGCTGTTCAACTTGTTCCATTGAATCATAAGATGGAGACAAAAGCATCAAAATTAAACACGTTTCAATTAATATTGTCTTTAAGGATTGTAGTATTGGTTAGTGGTACAAAATATTTTTCAGAAAAAATAATCAATTTTTTTATGGTACAGAGTGATGCGACGAACAAGTCGTGTGTCATGTGGGTGGTAAGAGACACGCCCGTTCATAACAGTCGTAATGCCACTCAGAGCTTTAAATCGCAGAGATCTGAAGGGCACTGCCACTGCGCCCGTCACCTGAGACATAAGTTGAAATCCCATGTGTCCGTAATTTTACCAGCAGCACTCTTACCCTTCAAAACCGGAACGCAGTAACGCTCACATTACTGCTTGGCGACAGAAGTAGGTAAGGTAGCAAGCAAGATTTCCCTGGACAAATTGGTTCACAAAGCTCTACTGCTGAAACAACTAAAACATATTCACTGCAGCAAACACCTAATTGAAAATATAACTATCACCCCTTTGAGACAGCTTGCATAACAATGAAACATTTTTAATATTTATAGGTGGTAAGAACAGCAGGTGGTCAAGTGTGGGAGGACGTGACGCTCCTGGACTGGCCGGACGATGATTTCCGTATGTTCTGCGGAGATCTCGGCAATGACGTCACGGATGAACTACTGGTAAGTCTACATGAGCCTCATTCGACGGCATTAATAATAACCATCGAGTATATAACCAGAAATAGAGACAAAATAAGGGCCATCCATCCCTGGCAACTCATCAGTTAAAAGGTACTGATATCACTTTTAAATATCAACTCTCGTTTGCGCTGAAATCACAAATTAGAAAGCTTCTATAGTACTGACCTGTGTGTATGTCTCCGTACGTTCCAAAAATATTCTGTATTTATTGTAATAAAGATAATATCTCTAACTATGGGGGGCTGTTCCATTCAGTGGTGTGGGAGAAACAGCAAAACATCTAACTACAAAATCTTATTTCATCGGTAATGAAGTATTAAATTATGTAATTTTTCAACTTTAGTCCATTATAGCAAAGCTCAAGTTAAACGGGTCGATTTGAAATGAAAGAATTTCGTGTCAATTTCGTCTCTATTTCTGGTTATATGCGCCGATCATAACCATGATTTGTATAGCATAAGATTGTTTTCTGACCCGCGGACTTGTACGTACTAGACATATGCGCCGACCATAAAATGGTCGTCGACGCCGGTATAATTAGCGCGTAACCGGCTTGGCATAGATTTTTGTTAGTGTTTATAGAAAAGCACTAAAATGATTTGATTGATTAAATGACATTTTTATTAATTTTTAACGTTTTTAACCGACTTTAAAATAAAGGAGGCAGTTCTCAATTCGACTGTATTTTTTTGTATGTATGTTACGCGATAACTCGCTTTTGATGATTCATTTTTGTTGGAAAGAGGGTATATCTGCTAGCTGTATTGGTCCCATTTAAATTTTAAGGAAAAATTCCACCTCTAAGGGTGGCAAACTGGACCATGAATTGGGTTTAGCGTATTTTCTGGTAACCGATTACAATAAACCTTGGCAAGTAGATGTGATTCCACAAACTTTTGTGGTCGGGTTTTGAATAAAGAAGTTATTAACGCTTTAACTTGTATTTGAGTAGGTATGTTGGCACTATTACGAATAATAATCAAGTTGTAACGAATACCCCCCCACTCCTAAACAAACATACATAACCATCGTCGCCTTCCACGACATCATCATCATCCACACCGACAACACTACAAACGAACGAAGACCAATACCAATGACCAGGATTTTATTATAACAGTAACACATATATAAAACTTATATGTGTATATATGTATATAAGTAATATACATACAATAATCTAAAATATATAAACCCAAGCATCAAAGTATACAAGATACTATGGATCTATTAAATGGCCATATTAAATTTTTTTTATATGATCGTCTAGTTTGATTAGGACCTTATTGTTAACATTACGTTGTGTTTTAAATAAATAAGTAAGTGGGTAACCCGCGATTCTTTAAGAGGTACGTGAGATAATCATAAAAATATAGTGATATGCTGTATAGATTTTTTTTCAAAAGACATGTAAATATATTGGAAAGGGATTAAGGAATAAGGAAAGGATGCCCACCTCATGTAAAAAAATATATTTGAGGTATACGAAGCCCCCACAACAGTCTGCTTGTGTAGATGTTATTTCACTACAGACCACCTCCGCTCACGTATCGTGTATGACACGCCGGTTACATACTCCGGGGCGTAGAAGGTATAGGAATATATACACCTACGCTATTAAATGATGATTGTTTAAACAATAGATATTCGTTATACGGAATACCTTAAGTATAAATGTCCTGCCATGTCTGTGACGTAGCATGAAGACCATCAACAGTATGTTCTGCATAAAATGTAGTGCAAATAGCATTTCAATGTATATGAAATGATACAACTCGACGTCTTCAATTGATGAATACATATACCAGTCACTGGTTCACACAGAACAGACCAGCACGACGATGTAGCCATGGCTTGGAGCCGGCTCTGGAACTGTAGACTGTTACATTGTATGTATCGTCTCAACGAATACAATATAGTCCACAAGGTCCAACAGACAGGGAGAGCATGTTGCTACTCATATTGTGTCAACACAGGCGAGCACAATATAGTCTGCAATACTAGTAAGTCTATGCAAACCAGTAAATTGGTGATGCAGCGGCAATCAGAAGCATTATTTAGTGTACCACATCTCGGTCTTTCACGAGAATGGGTATCTTAACAGGAACAATCAATCAGGAACGTTGTAGAACAATAAAAGTATTGTTATACCTTATTGTAATTAGTAGATATGAAACTGTTAATAGTGTCATAGCTCCGCTCACAAAACATTGCGATGTCATTTAAACCCAAGTATAAATACATAGAAATCCGGAGATATCCGGGGACAGGATTGAGAGTAACTAATTGATGCAAGAAGAGAAATAATATCCATTAATGTAAACTAGTTTTACATATGGTTTATATAAGTAAAGAAACAAGAAGACAGAGGATAAAGGTAAGGAAGAAGAATAGGCCCACCTCATAACCCTGCCTAGTCTTTACTAATAAGAATCCCTATTACACACCTTGAGTACAGCAAGTAGAGAAGAAATCAATTAATTTTAATTATCAATTAATTATATATATATCATAATCACATAGGTGATAATTCAGCATTTGAAATATAATTTCGCTATCCGATAAGCCTTGGTAGTAGACTTATCTAAGTTGGGTTAGTGTTCACCAAGCACTGAAAGTTAATCTAGTATTAACTTACAGAAGCCTAAGTTAAATACCAACCAATCCGACCACGCGGCTAATTATCTCAGTAACAACTTATACACTCGAAGTCCATATCCAGTACCATCTTCCACAAAGGCTTTTAATTTGACAAGACAAAGTTTTATAATTTGTAATAAATATGCCAAATATCAGCCTAAGATAACAAATCAATCAAACTTCATTGGTTTTCTAATTCCATTCTGCAGATGTCCACTAATTCAGCAGAAAGGACATGAAATTAAATACACAATATTATGTATTAATATATCTTTAATAAATAATTTTACCTCACCTTAGTTACCTTAAACCAATACCGATAATACCCAAAGAAAAAGGATATAATAAACCGCTACTGTTATCCTTCCGTACAATAACATTGGTCAAGTATATTGTACCAAGTTGTCACAGTTTACCTTTTCTTATAATTAAGTAAAACAACATTGCTTAATGTGATTGAATAAAACTAAATTAAATGAAATCTATATTTTATAGTTTAGCTGAAGTAATAAATAATAAATTCAACGTAGCAAATTGCCATTATTATAATTAAAATGTGACAAAAAAGGTCAAAGTTAGATATATAAAATAATTTGATAATTTCAAAACAATATAAATACTCTATAAAAATGTTATAAGGTACAATTTTATCTCGTTGTTAAACAAAATCAAGGTTTAGTGTTTGCTAGATAATTTAAGTTATTTTTCGGTAACTGTTCATCCAACTAATAAAAGAATATCAGTCGAATAAGGTTTCGCAATATTATAATTAGAATGTATCAAAAAAAAATACACAACACACGTAAAACTGTTAAAAAAAAACGTAAACAAATCTCAACGATAGATACCCAAAATAAGTAGGTATCCTATCATAGTAAATGCAAATCACATACCTGAGAGGTGACCTCTCACCTATTACAAGACATCTAGAAGGCTGCACCTACAAGGAAATCTGCCAGGAACATAGACCAGGAACTGAAGACCCATATCAGCTCTAGATTTGAATTAAAGTCTTATTAACACTGTCTCACACACGCGCTCGCGGACACTGACTCTAACTATCAAACGTAATTATTATATAAATTAATATGCGACGCTTCCTGAGTACTGTATTATTGCACAACTATATTATTAACGTCCTAACAAAATATTATATACACGGCTGAAGGCCTAAATCTATTCTAGATTCGGATTACAGTCTTACCCCTATCGCACGCGCTTTACGAACATTAATGTCCTAACAAAGTATTTTATACACGGCTGAAGACCTAAATCACTTCTAGATTCGAATTAGAGTCTTAACACTATATAACCCGCACACTAAAGCAATGGTCTACCTATTGTTACAAATGTAAGCACTATATAGACTAACTCGCGGCGTTTCCTAAATACTAGATTATTTATAAACAAATTCAGTACGAATGCCCTAACAAAGTATTAGACGCGCACTCCCGATCTCTCGCTAAATCACCCGAAAATAACAATTTCTTAAATTTCACACGCGACGTCTCCTAAATGTCTGACGACTTAAACCCTAAATTAAACTACAATTATTATACTAGATTTTATCTATTAGCGCGAACGACACTAAAACTTAGATTTTCACACAAGCTTCTCTTTGTTATTAAAATTAAATGAAATATCAACCGCGATTTGAGACCCAGCCTTCCAATTTTTCAGGTGCTGTCGATCACGTCTTGGGCCCCACTAACTCATGATTTCAGTACCCTTAGCATCACACCTTCCTTCCCCGCTTCGTCTCCTCACCGAATGTTCTAGAATGTTCCAAAAAACCCTTGAAAACACCCCGGTCACACGGTCCCAAATCAATAAATTATATGTGTTGTGTTTTGTCAAATTTCTAGGAGAATTTCTAGGGCTGGCAAAACTCCGTAACGTTTCATTGAGTACCCTAGACTCAGCAGTGGAACGCTTTCCTAGAATAATAATTAATATAGAAAATTAACCCAATACGTATATATAAAATATCTAAATCGATCATTATTAATAAAGAGAGTAATAATAAAATAAGTAGTATTTGTTCTGGTGGGATAAATCTTCATCAGAAACAAGTAGAATCTTTCGTATGTGTTGTTCTTTCACTAAATATTAATAAATAATAATAGGCATTGTGTAAAAACTAAATAGAATTATGTTTGCCTTTTTTTTTTTTCTTTTTGAATCTAAATTACACACTTTTGAGTAAAGCTAATTTCACTTTATCATATTGTTTATCTGTAATATATACATAAACACACTTTCGCATAAATAATGATAGTATGCATTTAATTTACTAGTATTATTATATATTTTATTAAATAATTTAATTTCATTAGTTACCAAAATTTAGCAACCCTAACAAAAATACATTCAGCAAAACCGATAATTCATACGTTAATTGTTAAGTGTTTCCTTCAGCTCAAGTGTCTGAACTGAGACGAATTCAACGAAGTCATTTGCTATTGAAATTCTTCGAATGTGATTATTTACATTTAGACGTTATTTAAAAAATTACCTGCTTCCTTCACTAATAATTCATTACTGTTATATTTATATTCATCGAATTTCCGCTAATTCATTTTTATTTTATTTTGTGGAAGGTATGTTCTGTTACAAAGTTAAATAATGTTTGTAAAAAAAAAACCATTAATTAATTTTAATTTAAATCTGTAATTAGATAACATAGTAAATAATTAAAAAAGAACCTGTTACTTCATTAAAATAAAACAAATTTTGGCCACGCTGATTTTACGCCGGTCAGCGCACATGTCTATACTTCGTTTGTTAGCATTAGATGGAAGGAAATTTTAGGTCTTTTATCAGGCGCATTCCGTAATTTTATACGCAAAACTTATCACTTTTCTTTTACTCGTAGTTTTCAGTACCGATTAAATTAAAACTTTTTATCTTGATATACTTAATCAATCAATTTTAAAAACTTGCACTGTAAAAAATTCAAAGAACGTTATAAAATAATAACATGTTATCGTGCCATTTGGAAGTGTAATTTGTCATCAATTGTCACGATGTGTATTTGCCTTTACTCTAATTTGTTGATTGAAGAAAAAGTTTATGATCACTGACTGCTTCCTTGTTTACGAATTTTCTAATTCTAAAAAGACAGAGTATAGTGCGTACCGTATTTGCCGCGCCCATGTATTACAAAATAGGACACTGAATTTGCAACTATAGCGGCGATTCTGCGTCATTAGCATTAAGTATTTTTTAAACTTGCAGACGCGAACTTTCGGCAAGTTCAGCTCGTTCCAGCGCGCGAAGGTGATTCGAGACAAGCGAACCAATAAGAGTAAGGGTTTTGGTTTCGTCAGCTTCAAGGACCCTGGGGACTTCATCAAGGCCATGAAAGAAATGGACGGTAAATAATAATAATGTATTTCAATAATAAAACAATTTCCTGCAATTTTCAACCTGCCTGGTTTCCAATTTGTTTGTGTTATTCATGTTGCAGTTAATTAAATAAATACAGTGTTAGTAAAATATTCCTTATTTTACGTTTGTGAATTGCTTTAAACAACGTGAGATTTACGTCTCTATCTATAGTACATACTTGCAGTATTGTGCAAACCTGCAGGCTAGTTTTTGTACCTTACAGCTAATATCCTGTAGGGGGCACAGGTCATAGTCGTCACGTTGTATGACAACTTCGTTGCCTGTTGCCCTACGTACTTGGATGGCGGCACTGTATTAACGCACTTGAAAACTAACTTAAAGCCTTCAAAAAATTTTACCATTGTGGTCTCACGACATTTCGTTCTCCTTTAACTCATCAGTGGCAGTATAATTTTGTGTGATAAACCTCCCCGTGACAATATTTATTTCAATTGATAAAGCTAAGTTTGCTTATTTGGTAATGAACTATTGTTATACATTTTGACGAACAAGAACAACGATTTGAAATTGCGTATATCTTTCTATCTTTGTCGTTTAATCATCGCCGCGAAAACGATGAAACAAAAAATGTCGTTTTTGTAGTTTCTGTTTTTACATCTTTTACATTATATCAGTTATTATTTACGTATTTCTAATTACTCTCGTGTATTGAACTGTATTAAAATGCTCTCCTCACTTTTTTCCAATAATAACTTGTATACATACATCAATTTGTTTGTTTTTATTATTTCTTTTCATCTTGTTTGTCGCGCTCAATTTTCACATTGATAAAATTACTGTGAAGAATTGCCAAAATGTTTTAAAATCAGCTGTGACCTTGCAGTCATGTTTGCAGTCATAGGTCGCGGCGCTCGCGATGACATAAAAATGTGACGTCACGGTTCCCGCTATGTTAACTATTGTGTTAAAATGCCGGTTTATCACTCGAATTTGAGAGATAAATGTGGATATAATAACTTCATCGAGGCGGCATACTACGGGGACTGTACAAGATAATAATTATCTCCCTGTTCTTATGAATGAATATACTGTATATTATTATTGTTCTACAGGCCGCTACGTGGGCAGTCGTCCGATAAAGCTGCGCAAGAGCACGTGGAAGAACCGCGCATTAGACGTAGTACGAAAGAAGGAGAAGGAAAAAGCAGCACTGCTCTCTTTGCTTATGTCCGGCAACAAGAGCTGACAACGTCCTAATGCAAAAGACGAATAGTCTACTTTTCGGTGTTCATATAAAAACACGGTCTTTAATATCTTGCAGCCAACAGCACATGGAAGTGTTTTTTCTTTTATCTTTCGCTTATTTAGAAGTTTATTTTCCGGTTGCCGAAAAAATGTGCAGGGTTAATTGTAAAATACTTTGTGCCATTACTTTCAATAATTCATCAGATTTTACATTAGTACATAAATAAAAGTATTTGAAGGGTGATAACTCTGTGCGGTAACAAAAGAAAGCGCTAGCGTAAATACCAATACGATGCAAAATGCAGGAGCGGGGGTAGGGTTCCACAGAGGGCGCTTGCACGTTTTGACTGACTACCGTATTACCAACGAAACAATGAATACTCAACAGTTTATTTTTGGTTTTATTAAGTATGTTTTCTAAAAAGTCATGGAACAACAGTTGTTGTTTATGATTTTAGTAATTAATATAGTCCTGCGAGGTCGTTAGTATTTTACAAATAACCCTGTGTAATTAGTAAACTGTAGATTTCGTTTCTACATATTACATAATTTCAGGTTTGTTTGCTCTTATTTATTGTCCTTAAATGTAATAATCAGTTGTAGTGCGTAGAAGTTTAGCGATAGTATTGTTTTTGTATGACAAGATACGTCGCGAAATTTAAGAAATATTTCATAATTTTGCAATTTGTGAATGACGCTATGAACTGTAAACTCCATAGTAGTTTAGTAATTTATATTACACGTAGCTAGGTAGTTATTGACGCATTGCATCTGCGAGTAATTTACTCTAAATAAGACAACTTTGTTATGTAGTATAAAATGAAGAATGTTGCGCATTTCTAGAACTAATTTGACGTATTTAATTGACTTTATGAATAGAGATGGGAAAACTGCTTAATTTTATAAACGTTAAACCGTTGCTTTTTTTAAATAGCGTGCTTTTTTAGACGCTTTTTACGTTTAAGCGCATAGACTTTTATGTAAAAAAAGCTTGCAATGTTATGTTGATAGCGTAATGCAAGAGTAGACCACTAAAGGTTTTAAGATAAGTAAGTTTATTTGTAAAACACGAGTTTTATTTTTATTCATAAAATTGTTATTCACATTGATGAAGCGAGACTTGAAACGTAATGCTTTAAAAAGTTTGCTTTTTATAATGCTTATTTTAAAAACCAAATTTTTAAAGAGCTTTTCGTTTAATGCGCCCACCTCTATTTATGAATGTACCATAATGTAATAAAATACTATGAAGAATACAGTATGTTCGGACGTCTAATCCTTAACACTACCTATACTGCCCTCCTTATTATAACTAACGTAGTCGAAATTTTTAGCGAAATTTACCTGACCTACAACCCCCTCCAATCGTTTTTTTTGTATCTTATTAAAAGAAAAACAGGTGCCCATATATCGGAAGTTACCTAAATGCAAATGTTTTTATGACAAAAGTTTTCAACATTATATGACCAAAAAAGTATTGTATCAAATGGGGATTAAGGTGGTATTCCACCGGCGAGGCGAGACGAAGATTGCAATTTTTTATAATGACTTAATATCAGTCGCGAGATTGTGGGGTACATATGATTTGAGATAAAAAAAAAAGATGGTTTCATCCGATTCTACTTCCGTTAACATATTTAATAATAATAATTTACGGGACATATTGCTCCAGCCGCGTATTTATCGCCAGATGAAATGAACACCACTGGATCTTTACTATCCACAATCACAGCGCGAGATCGCGATAGCTCGCGCGAGCAAACGAGATGTTAATCTCGTCTCGTCTCGCCAGTGGAAAACCACCTTAACATTACAACCGACATTTTGAACTCCGATGTTCTCGAAAATAGCAAGAACCGTTGTTGTAGCCGTCGCGTATTATTGTGTATAAATGGACGGTAAATAAGAAATTGCTAACGAATAATAGAATTAACTCGAATAACTATTAGAATTAACTCGAATTTTGTATTGTTTTACCGTTCGTGATACATACAATGTTTTTCATCACATTTACGAGGAAATAACTACTATGTTTATTTCTTATATGTATAAATATTGTTCACAACACAACAATTATGGTTATTACAAATGGCGGGTTTTTATTTTTTTTTATCAACAGATGGCCGACTAGCTATTCTTCCGTAAAAGTAAAATGATGAAAAAGCTTCTTACCGACCATGGCTGTAATGGGAAGATAAAAGGCCCGAGTGTTTTATTTGGGGCATTATCGTCACGCTATCCGCTATGCAATCATAATATTTACGAGCAAGTGTGATGAAAAGTATTTAACAATTTTATATAGCAAATTGTGTAGCGCCCTCTAGTGGCCCCAAGAAGAAGTAACATTCTGCATATACATTTTTACGCGGTCGCTAGCGACGGTTGTGACTATAAACTAATGGTAAAGGTAAAGGTACAGGGTTTTTTTTCTGTCATCATGATTCATTAGATTCTGTCGGATCTGTATTGAACATGGTTCCATTGTAATCACTTATTTGGCGTCATAAGTTACTTGTCAAATATTTAGTTTGAAATAAAACGTATAGTAAACATAGTGTTATTATTTATTTAATAATTTATTACGTAACATCTTTGGTCACTTCTCCAATCGACTTACAATATTGAACTTGACTTATAATTAATTAATTTAAAATAATTAAGTAAGTTTATACAGTACCAATGATTCGAAACAAGGAATACTTTTTCTTTGACTTTAGTTTACAAAGTTTTGTTGGAAGTTTTCAATAATAAAGCCCAAATTACATTGCGGCGGAAAGAATGGAAGCGGCTTTTTTTAACGAACTTTTTGTACGTAGCGTAATTTACTTGTGCTACATATAAACCAGATAGGGGCCAAATAGCAATTCTCGCGCATTCTCGGGAATACTTATAAATCCGCAGAAAGTGACGTGAAGGCAGGCGCAGTGCAATGTCAATCGTCTACGAAATAGGTCGTGTACGCACCGTGCGAGAAAAATACATGGATTGAGATGAGAAGTTGGTTTATTTGGTCGAAATGTAAAATTCAGTCGCTGTAGGTTCATGCATGCATGGGTACAAGTCGTAAAAAATACCTAGATATAAATCTTCATATTGTCCAAAAGCTTTCGATAGATCATGAAATATCTATGTATATATAGTAGTGGAGTCATTTCACAAAAATGGTTGTGAAACATTGTGACATTCAATAAAAATTTAATCATGAAATAATATGCTTTACAAATGATTGAAACAAAAACATTATCCCAGTCCATCATCCTTGTCATGTAAAAGATTTGGACTGAACGTCTACTACAGCCTTTCGCGCATATTCGAGCATTCTCGCGTATGCCTGAGCATTCTTGCGCATGCCCGAGCGTTCTTGCGCATGCCCGAGCAATCCCGCGCATGCCCGAGCATTCCCGCGCATGCCCGAGCATTCCCGCGCATGCCCGAGCATTCCCGCGAATGAGGCCAAAATACTCTTTCGTTCCGCTGCAATGTAAAGTGGCCTTAGTATATACTTGTAGAAGAAAGATGCGGATTCTAAGGCAGAATTAGGTATGTTTTTAGATCTGATCTATTGCTCAAGTCTCAAATCTTTAGGTAATAAAAGTAGGTAACTCGTCACGCTGAAACTTCGTTTGCATTGTATGTTTAACGGTCCATCCAAAACGGGAATTAACAAAAAAGGTCTGTTTCTACACTTAAACTTATTAAGTATTTTTTTTGAAATTTAGTACGTAATCATTTCTCATAAGACAGAAAATCACGCATTGTGCCAGTTCCCGTTCTCATCGTCCTCCAGGATGTCCAAGAGGTTGTTATTTTTGACCCGTCTGGCGCGTAAGCGTACGATCGGACGAGGGCGATTGCGTGGCGGTGGCGTGGTGGCCGCGGCCGCGTATTGGGCGTCGAGGCAACAACGCGCGTCGCCGATTGGCTGAGATGACGTCGGGCAGAATGGCGTTGAGAAATCCTCTACGCAGTACGCGCCGGAAGCACTGGAATAAAATCTGAAGTTGCACCAATCGTGATAGCCTTCTGCACCCTACATTCAATGGTGGTATTACAACTGGAATAATTACCTATATAGATACACGATATCAAAATAAAGCTAAGGATTTGATGCCTTTGGAGATTAGTAAGGAAAGCTAAAGTTTTTTTTTGTACCTAATATTACCAATAGCGCAAACCGCCAATCATGTGATCACCGTCATCTCCTGATACCGCAATAAAACCCAGAGAATAAGTTCCGTGTTTGTATCATGAACATAGTGGCAGCAGAGCTTGTGAAAGTTCATCCAGGGAAGTACCTTACCTATTTCTGCCGCCAAGCAGTAATGTCAGCATTACTGTGTCCCGGTTTTGAAGGATAAGGGTGCTGGTGAAATTACAAGCACATGAGACTTCAACTTATGTCTCAGAGACAGGCGCAGTGGCAGTGCCCCTCAGCTCTTTGCGATTTAAAGCTCTGAGTGGCATTGCAACTGTTATGGAAAGGCGTGAAGCTTACCATCACGAGCACGACTTGTTCGACCCGTCACTTAATATTATAAAAAAAAACATGGTATAAAAAGTAGTGTGTGCCGAAAAGTTTCGGCTCAGTCGTGTACTTGATAGACATTGTGTATTTAAGTATTTCATCGCTGTATTAGATGACGTAAATAGAAGGGCCTGATTTATACATCTTTTCAGACTTTCTACCAAATAGAAACTGGCAGACTTGGTATAGGCGTCATTAGAATCATTTTGGCATCAGATTAGTTTCGGTCAATGCGGGGTAGACCAATTATCCGGACATAAACTTTGTGATTTTCCTCTCTGGTTTTGTCCCGGCATCAGATGACGTAATCTTACGGTGACCTCTCGCTCTACAACAGAAGTTGTGTGATTATGATTTCTGTTGTTGTGAGTCATGTCAGTTTATGGTATACCTACCCAGCGAGAAGACTTTGGACATAAGAAAGTTTTTACTTAAGAAGATTGGTGCATTATTCACGATTAATTTCGCGTGCTCATTCTCATTTCTGTATGCTTAGGCTCAATTTATATTGCGGCGGAACGGGATGGAAGCGAATTTTTGTAACTAATACAAAGCATAATGAACTTTATGGTCAATTGTGTAACGTACAAACTACCTAGATACGAGCCAAAATCTTCCGCAGAATCTCGCGCAAACTCGAGAATGCTCGCGCATTCCGCGGAAGATTCTGGCTCGTATCTAGTTTGTACGTTACAGAATTGATCATAAAGTTCATTATGCTACGTACAATATCTTAGAAAAATTCATTCCATTCCGTTGAGCTTGAAGGGTAGGTCAATGCTTGAAGGTAGTAATGAGCAATGTCAAATAATGATTTATTCCACAGAAAAAAATTTTACACATGAAAACGTCGTTTTTTAAGCTACTGCTCGTTCACTACGTTGACCTCCCTGAGAAGAACAAGCAAGAATTGCTCTTTTCAAATAAACTTAAATGCTACGGAATACACTTTGAATCATAATTGTGTGGAATCTACACTCTTGTTGTGTTTCCATACTTCTTTATCTAAAACATACTCTTCAATTTTGTAATATGACTTTTCAAAAAAAATACTTTTAATGTACGTTAATTAAACTTAGGAAATGATAATCTTAATAATTAGATAAACATGTTAGACAATATAGATGTAAGTATATAGAAGATTTTTGCGCTTGATACGTCGTTGGATAGAAAAGAGATAAAAAGGTAGACCCACGTCATAGGAGCCGGTTGCCCTAATGGCACGGGCAAGGCAGAGGCCCGAGCCGGTGGCACCCGCACGGAGCACCGACGGCCGCACGGGGCGGCGGAGCGCGGACGAAACAGGCTCTCCGCTTGGTAGCAGAGGGACCAAATGTGGCTGCAGAGGGCCTCATCTGGAAATAAATGTTAAAAGATAAATTTATTTCAATATAACTTAATCTAATACAATACAGGTAAAACAAATGTAAATAAAGCTATTCTATATACAATATATAGAATCTAAATTATACAGTCTTCATAGTAAAGCTATGCATTTTAATATTAGAACTTATTGTGTAATTGCGATGCCTAAACTAAGTAAATGTATACCTGTATTTTAGTCATCTTTTTGGGCAAATTTCTTTACATTACAGCTTAAAAGGAGATTTCTATATTTAACAATATAATAATTAGTACTTATAAACATAAATTAATGGTTACCTATATAAAAACAATTATGAAACAACTGAACATGATGTACGCATATAGAGCTTAGACTATGGAAACCAAAGGACATGTTAATAATCAGCATCGATTATTCGTAGAAATAGAACAAGACATTCCCAAATCGAATATTGATCTACTTTAAACGTTTTAATCATACTTTGATTACAGTAAACAAAAGTAACAAAAAACGGTTTAACATTCAAGTTATACATTTGCATGTCGATAATGGCTTATCGATATTATGGCATAACACGAAAGAAACACCATTTTTTGCGTTCAATTTTTGTTTCCTTTTGTCCTTTCCTTTTTTTTCATCCTCTAAGATATAGAGGGACACTAAAAAAGTTTGAATTAGCGAGCTTTACGCAGATATTCTTATCGCACGTGTAAAGACGTTGATAGGAAAAGGGAAAGGTCGCGCGATTGCCCTCATCAGTCGCGCGCGCAATTGCGCACTCCAACACGCGCCAGTTTCACGCGGTCTATTCTGCGCTATTAGCCTTTACACGGACGCACTTTAAGTTGTAACAAAATCGAACACGAGCAATCGCGCGCGAATAATAATAATAATCATTATTTCGGAACCAGGTCCATAGATTGTTAGCAAGGTTACAAACTGCCTAAGTCTAAGGGGTTGGTTACACAATACATACACAGCAACATAAAATAAATAAAAACGAACAACGACGGCGGCATGCAGTCGCATCTAATGAGCGAACATCGGCAAGTCCCAGACATAGCCAGAACATACCCAAGGCGCTGCAGTAGCGCGGCAGACCCAGCAACACCCGGAACGCGTTGTTGTATTGTACGCGCAGGCCGTTGTATGTCCTTCGCGTATAGTCGACCCACAGACTGCACGTGTAAAAAGACTGACAATGAGCTTTAAAAAGTGTAATCTTTACTTGTCTTGTACGACGCGCAAAACTGCGGGCCAACTTAACAACGAACATCCAACGATCTACGCTCCCTCTCGATGTCGACGTTGTTAGAAAGGTCACCCGTGACTAAGAGTCGTATTCTAGAACTCTACTCAATGCTCAAGTCAGGATTGCACTGGAAACACGAGCACTGGAAATACGACTCTAATGGCAGGGACTTGAGTATGATTTCGAGTGCTTTAAACCATACTCAAATCCTGACTTGAGCATTGAGTAGAGTTCTAGAATACGACCCTATGTGACCCAGTGACCCAAGTACTTAAATCTCGAAACTATTTTTAAAGGAGCACCGCAAAATGTTGCATTAGGTATGATATAGTAACACTTAGTACCTGCCTTAAAAGCCATCAGCTCGCTATTCAAAACAAAAGGCTAGCTCAAAAAATTTCAAGCAGGTAATCGCGTACGATTGCGCGTGCAGGCTTTTCCGCGCACAATCTTATGTACGCCCCTGATCACGCGCGATAGAGTGATTGTGTAAAGGGGGCTAAATTGCGATAACGATGTTCATGTGAACTACTGGCCACATATGCCAGAACGTTAAATTTAAAAAAAGAATGGCTTCTACTGTCTTTTAATTTCGTTTAAATGTTCGTATACGTGGCCAGTGGTTCATACGAACATTGTTATCATGAGTCAACCTTTTTTTCTTCTTCTAAATATGTCTATGAGTATAATTTGCCTTCAAATCGCTTTCCTTCTGGTCTCTACTTTCAGATTTGTCTCCAAGATACGTACGTAGACGATGGTAAATAAACGGCAGTAAGTGCAAAATGCCGGAAGATCGGGTGTGACCGTGGCAGCATTTTATAATCGAATACAAGGCTCTAACGAACAACAACATGTGTACCAAATTTCAGCGCTTGAATAAAAAATGCCAAAGTTTCAAATTTGTTTTTTGAGCTTACTAGGAGTGTCTTCGCAATAAGGCTGGCTGCGACCTCCGTTCAAACAAAAGTCGGCGTGTCCCAACCGCGAGGCCTCGCCATAACGCCCTGCATTAGTGTGCAATACATGGACGGCGCGTGCGTCTCCTGGGTCCAGGCGAAGTGCAGGTGCGGATCTGATGAGTGGGCGAGCGGGGTCTAGACCTATGAAATTCAATACAGTTATTTCAATAAGGGTAATAATAAAGGTTTCGAAAAACAAAGGGAATTAATTGCGGCTAACTGTAATAGTAAGCAAGCTGCGTGAAAATGAGTTACTTACTCAAAAATAAACACAGAATATACCGAAAACATTAATCATATTTAGCAAACAATCAAGGGCTTGTTCAAATCACAATTATACGAAAAAAAAACTGTATTTCCGAGTAATATACTAAATTTCCGAAATATATACTATCTCACCGATATAATATATCTTACATATTTCCTACGTTGTCACTCATAACATCTTGTAAGTCAGCCTTAAATTACATGGGTAATATATGGGTAACATCATAATAAAAAGAACTGGATGGCGTGGCCACAGAATTCAGGTGTGCATGCTCCATCATCGAACTCATCGTCACTTCTCATCAGGTGAGATGGACATCAAATGCGTACCTACTTTTTTATAAAAAAAAAATCATCGAAACTGTGTTGTCTGCTGATGTTTATGAATGGTGTGAATCAATGGATTGCATCATATATCTTTATAACAGTAGCAGTAGTGCTCATTGTGAAAGAGTTCGTTCAGGATAGTACAAGCCACCTTACCTATTTCTGCCGCCAAGCAGTAATGTCAGCATTACTGTGTTCCGGTTTTGAAGGGTGACGTGTCAACTTATGTCTCAGGGTAACGGGCGCAGTGGCAGTGCCCCTCAGATCTTTGCGATTTAAAGTTCTGAGTGGCACTGCAACTGTTATGGACAGGCGTGTAGCTTACCATCAGGCGCACGACTTGTTCGTCCCGTCACTTCATATTATAAATAAAAAATTTCGTTATGAGTATCAAATTACGATCATACGAAAAATTATTTAATTTTCATTTTTATCCACAAATCTCAAAGTGGTTGTGACCACATGTCGATACTTCAGTGAAGAAAAAGCGCAATAATAACAAACTATCTTTATAAATATTTTGGTTCATTTTTAATTTTTAATTTTTATAGCAATTACCTGCCTACGTTACGTAAAAATCACATCTTTTCACGAAAACCATTTTTCGACTAAACCGATGGAAATAGCTGAATATATAAGCCAATTACACCCATAGATAATTTTATAAATATATAATAGATAAATTTCTTCGAAGTATCGATATCTACACATTACATAGACTTTAAAAAAAATAAAAACTAAGTGACGGGACGAACAAGTCGTGCGCCTGATGGTAAGTCCATAACAGTTGCAGTACCACACTGCCTCTGTCTCCGAACGGTTACCACACTGGACTGCCACGCAGAGATCCCGGGTACGATTCCCGGCCAGGGAGAAATATTTGTATGGCTTACATTTATTTCTCTCGTGAGTTTGGGTGAAATTTATGGTTGTCTTTGTGTTTGTCCATGGCACCTGCAAGTGCGACACAGGGCAATTTATTTATTTATTATTTCTGCTTCCCTGGACGAACTCTTTCACAAGGAGCTCTACTGCTTCTTAACACAGACACATGAACATTAAAACCTACTAAATCAACCTACACCTTGCATTGCTAATTTGCGGTATGAAAATACTTTTATAATAATGTATTATCTTTGTAAGTTATTAAAATACATACATATATGTATAAAGATTTCATATCAGCAAATGCAAGTGCATAGTAGTACCTACCTATACACAGGATTGCGTCGTATGACGATACTCTTGCGTCGTTGCCGTCGCGCTGCATGCCTTCTTATGTACTATATAATGATATGAAATAATATACTACGCAATTTTAGGTACCCACCTACTGTAGTTGCATGCATAGCGTAAATCCAACATTATTTTGAAATGTAGATTGATATCAGTTTGTGTATTTTCGTTCATAAAATAGCAGCGGAGAAAGATATTTATAATCCCCGAAAACACAGTGTTAACTGAAAACAATGTTGGTCGGAATTTTGTACATATGAAACTTGAGAAGCTTTACCACAAACACGAAACACCATTTACTAAGTTAGTAGCAGTAGAGCTTGTGAAAGAGTTCGTCCAGGTGAGTACTACCAACTTACCTATTTCTGCCGCTAAGCACTATGTGAGCATTACTGCGTTTCGATTTAGAAGGGTAAGCGTGCTGGTGAATTTACAGGCACATGGGACTCGTCAATTTTTGCCTCAGGGTGATGGGCGCAGTGGCAGTGCCACTCAGATTTTGCGATTTAAAGCTCTGAGTGGCACTGCAACTGTTATGGACAGACGTGTCGCTTACCATCCGGCGCACGGATAGTTCGTTTCATCACTTGGTATTCAAAAAAAGTACCAGTAGAGTTCCTTGTGAAAGAGTTCGTTCAGGAAAGTATTTCTGCCGACAACTAGGCAAACTACAAGCACATTGGATTTGTCAACTTTATGTTTCTGGGTAACAAGCTTAGTGACAGTACCCCTCAGGTCTTTGCGATTTAAAACTCTGAGTGATACTGCACCTGTTATGGGTAGACGTATATCGCTTAACACCAAGGACCGGACAACGGATATATCCGCTCACTTGATATCACAAAAAATGTTTATATAATACGCTTAATGCGTGCCCTGACACATTTCACCCACAAATCCATCCACGCTCTATCTCCCACATACCACACGCACGCACATTCTACCCCAACACACACACACACACACACACACACACACACACACACACATTTAAACACACACACACACATTCACACGCATACTCACATTTACCCATGCGCACAGCTAACCTTTTTGCATTAACTATTTTTTGGTTTGTGTTCATTTCTTGACAAATTTTCCATGTTTTTAATATTTAAGTTATTTTTATTTCAAAATTTTTCAAATTGTTTAAGTAGTTTGTTGTGCGAATTCGATCACCAATTATAATTGGCTAAAGTTTATGTTACCATTGGGGTTAGGCGCTGCATGCTGAGATACAGGTTTAATCCTAGTTCGGCTGCAGAGGCTTACATAATTTGAAGTGTACAATTTTCTTAGCCTTATTTTATAATTTATAAATAATTATTTTGTATGTCTGCACATTGTTTAAAGTAAATAAACATTATTATTATAATTATTCTTCGTGACGAAATGGTATACATAGCACTTTAGTAACGAAAGTCACACACTAGTCACAAAACTTCGCTTCTGTTCTGTTCCGCGGCAATGTAAATTGAGCTCAACACTTACCAATAATCCGGTTCAATCTAAACGTCAAGAAATTTGCAATGATGCCGCACATGTGGGCACCAAGAGAGTGTCCGACGCAAGTTAGTCTATCTGGCCGCAGGCCTGCGCGTCGGAGGGTCCCTAGGGCATCTGCAGCGCAGCGCGCCACGGGCCTCAGATTGTGTACTGCAGCCACGTAGCATGGAGGTTGGCAGAGATTGCCCCAGTCCAGCATGAACACGTTGTATCCTCCACGACGGATGTAGGCTGGGTACATGAAATGTAAATTTTTAAGAAGGTTTGCTCGGAAGGTGTGAAATATGGAGATGGAGAGTTATTACGAGAAAGAAAGGTCAAATTAAGATGGATTGATCGTGCAAAAGATTGTATGTGCATGACAAAAAATAACAATGTTTTGGGTAACGCGAATATTGTAATAGTTGTACAGATTCCCTCTCTCTCAATACATTGTCTTACTTATGTGTATGTACAGTCGATGCTCTAAGATGGCCGACATTTTTGTTTCGAGAGTCTTCTTACGCATTTTAACAAAGAAGTGTAAACAAATTCCAGCTTTTTGGTAGAAATTTGTATTTATGTAATATAATTAAAGATCAAGTTGGCTTGATATGTCTCTTAAAACATGATTCACTAATGATGCGTCCTTATGTCATACCGAAATGAATTCTGCGGCGCAAAGGTCAAATGTTGAGTTTGTTTATAACACTTTTCTTCACACTGATCTACTCAGAACCAAATAGGACGCTTTCGCAACCGTACTTCGCAACCTCGGTCACGAGGTCAGGTATCTTAGGGCATCGAGTATACTTTTCGTTATTTTTTTAATGCAGTTTACCGCTGATGGTTGACTGCGCCTCCGGACAAAAGGGCGAGCTGGAGGCTCTAAACCCGTTTAAGCATTTAAGTAGCGGGCCTGATTGCGCCAGGTGTGGAGGGACGCTACTGAAAACTTCCGCCAAAAGGGCGTTAGTATGAATATAAATCTACGCGAGTACACGCTGAACTGGGGGTGTATTCTCGTTCTCCGTCCCACATTCGTCCGAATCAATTTCTGTGAAATAAGTAGGTAATACTCCACCAAATTAAATGGTACATGATATAAATGGAGCTTCATACTTGGCATTGTATTTTGATTTTGTTGAGTATTACTTATTTGATTGTAATTGCAACGGACGAATGTCAGACGGAGAACGTTAGTAGAACCCCTGAGACGCAAATGACCCCAAGTAATAAGATAAAGACAGGTTTGTTACATAGGTAGCTTAAACTCAGCGGGATGTCACCACGTCTAATTACACAGGAAATTATTTATATTTATATCTTTATTTTTGGGTAATTATTGTACACCAAAATATCGACTTAATAAATTACATCGAACTTCGGAAATAAAATAATAATAACTGCTTTTACCTATGTATTTTGTATGAGTGATAATAGCAGGTTATTTTGACATAGATATGCTTTAAGTGCTTTATAAATTATCCACAAGCGGGGGCAACACAACAGAGTACAAGTTTATTATGTTCTTTACTGAAAATGTGACGTAAAAGAAAGAAAATAGATAGGTAATTAATTACAGAGTAATCAAACTCATAATGCAAAATTCTACCGTTAAGTTACTATCAACCGTGAAAATAAAGCACACGATTGTGCTGTTTATAAAATACATAAGTCAGTATATATTTATTTACCAAAACGCTTCAAGCTCGTTTCACCACGTAAAAGAACATTGAAAAACATATATTTATTCCTTGTCTCAGGTATAAAAATATAATCTCATTTATCTACATAACTCATCAATAAGGCGGTAAAAAATGCGGGGTCGGCGACTGCGGAGAAAGTCATGGGAAATGCACTCGGTGCATCGCCTTGCATATAGGTAACACTGCGGTGTACGGATGCACGTAAATAGCAAAGGATAATAAATAACCGAGTTTACTTTCACTGCGAGCTGTGCGCATGAGTGCTTAACTTGACATAAAGTAATTTCTTGGTTTCACGGTTTCATCTTTCAAAATTTCCAAGTGAAGCTCTTAACAAGTCGACTAGACTAAGAAGTCAAATAAACCCGCCAGATATACATAATATCTTAGACATAATATACGCATTTTTTAATTGCAAAACACAATATTTGTCTCTCTCGGAAGTTGTTGGAAATTCAGCTCCTTTAAACACAGGAATCGAGTTCAAGTAGTAAATTCATTTAATGTTTGTAATATAATGTAATATTTATTTATTGAGAATTGGCAAAACAGCCATCAACTTGAAAATTTATAACAAAGAATTGAGCAACAAAAATATAAAAACTCAAATCGTGTCTCTTGTTTTTTTAAAAAGCTGGTTGATCAAAAAATCCAAAATAAACCTCATTTTCACCATGAATTATAAACAAAACAATAACTTTTTCTTTTAAAATGTTATAATTATATTGTCTATGGTAATTTTAAAAATAATATTTTAGCGCGCATTTTAAGAATAGGCGGGAACGTTTTAAGTTTATAATTCATGAAACACGTCCAGAACTGGCGAATCATAAAGGTGTCGTATTCCATTATGAAAATGCCAAACCATACACATAACTACAAAGTCGTCAAAACCTATTGCAGTTAAGTTGAGATTTATACCCCATTCATCGTATTTGCCCGTCAGATTTTCATTAGTTTCGCTTTCCGGCGTCGAAATGTGCATTTATTTTTTTATTAAAAAAAAAAAAAAAAATTACCGTTTTTATTATAGGTACAAGCATCGAGTATATAACCAGAAATAGAGACGAAATGTCATTTAATTTGTTTGATAACTATTCTGCCATATCATTACTGTGACAACTGCGCTGCGATTGTCAGTCCGAATTCGAAACAATTGACGGTGTCGTCAATGGGTGTCGTCAATTGTTTCAGTTCAAATCGACCAGTTAACTAGAGCTTTGCTACAATAGACGATAATTGCACAATTACATATTTAATATTTAATTACCGGTGAAATATGACTCCGTTTGTTTTGTAATTAGATGTTTTGGTGTTTTTCCCTACGCCACTGAATGGAACAGCACGCCATTATTAGAGATTTATTACAATAAATACAGAATATTTTTGGAATATACGGAGACGTAAACACAGATCGGTTGTTGGCGCTGTACTATTTCAGCTGTCTAATTTGTAATTTCAGTGCAAACGAGAGTTGATATTTATAAGTGATGTATCACTGATGAGTTACCAGGAATGCATGGCCCTTATTTTGTCTCTATTTCTGGTTATATACTCGATGGGTACAAGGTACAAACAACCTTCCGTAGGAAATGAAAATATTTTTCCTTTTAAACCTTTCGTACTTCATTTTAGATTTTTTCCGATTCTATGTAACAAATTTTCAAAAGGATTCTGTTTCAGGGGCTCTACTAACGTTCTCTGTCCGACATTCGTCCGATACAATTACAGTCAAATAAGTAATGCTCGACTAAATCAAAATACAATGTCCAGGATGAAGCTTCATTTACATCATGTATCATTTAATTTGGTCGAGTATTACGTACTTATTTTACAGAAATCGATTCGGACGAATGTGTGACGGAGAACGGGAATAGAGCCCCTGAAACAACAGTAAGTATGAGAATAGAGTAGCTGTACCCCTAAAACTGACATAGCTACCCAAAGGTATTTACATAATCTCGCAAATCTATACATTTTTAGGTTCTTTGTCATCAATTTGTAGAATTTTGGTTGAAATGTATGTACCATTGATTTGAAATATAATGTTCCCTTCTCGTCTTTAAATTTCAGAGAGAAACCTGAAAATTTTTTACGTTTCCTTAATACGCAAATTTCAACTTTTCGTTGTTAACCACAAAAGGAAATTTTTTGCGGATAAATAAAGTATTTTTTCATATTTTAATGTTAGAAGAACCAATTCGTGTTTAAGTGTTGATAACCCAGAAACAAAAATCATGTTACATAGTGTTAACTCTATGTTAACTCGACACTGTAGTGCCTCAGAGATGTTCGCGGAGGCTAGGATTGATGGTTTTCAGGCAGTCATTCACAGGAGAGTGGCATCCCTGTTGGGCAAAGTGAGAGGCGGTACCAACAGTCTTCTTAAGATGGTAGCAGTGAGGATGGAAAGCCCATTCCATACTTGTCCATGAAATTTAACACTTTACTTTCTACTAACATTGTTGTAAGTACCTACTAACACCGTATGGACATGTAACTGTACCTACTGTTTAAAATAAAATTCTTTCATTTCATTTCATAAAAGCACAGAGCACGGGCATGGGTGCGGGTCGGGCGCGGATCGGGTCGGGACCGCGACGGGTCTAATTCCGTGTATTTATTTATATGGACGTGTGCGCGAGATTTACTTTGTTCTTGTCGTCCATATAAATACACGGAATTAGACACGCCGCGGTCCCGACCCGACTCGCGCCCGAAGCGCACCCGCTCTTTGTGTGTTTCACGCTTTATTGTCCGATTACCTATAACACAGTTAAGTATTTAGAATTTAACAAAACTTTTCAAATATATAAATAAAAAAAGAACATCAATATTAACCATCCCTGAGCACAGTGATGGGCAGGGAGTCGTCACCACCCGCGTACCCGTGTATCAACAATATGGTCTCGTGTGTCGGCTCCCAACCGCTCTGCCGGAGCCAGTCTTCACTGGATAGATCTACCTGAAACAAATAAAAATAGTCAGGCATAGTATGCTGAACACGCTGGTTAAAATCCAGCCATATTGAAGAAATGTTTCTTAGTGTTCGATCTTGTTTTATAATTCCAAATGACAGGTAACAAGTGACAGGCTTGGTGTGGAACAACACGCATGTCAATAACTGTTGCGGTGCCACTCAGAGCTTTAAATCGCAAAGATCTGAGGTGCACTATGCACCAGTCACCCCGAGACATAAGCTGACAAATTCCATGTGGCTGCAATTTCAAAATCGGAACGCAGTAATGTGAGCGTTACTGCTTGGCGGCACAAGTAGGTAAGCTGGACGAACTGCTGCTAAGAAACAAACTAGTGGAATAATTTCACAAAAAAAAAAGTTAAGATCCTGGTAGTAAGACATTGTGATATTCAATACACTAATATTAACAATAATCAATTATTAAATAAGTAATACGCGGTAATGAACATGAAACTATTTTTTCGCGTCTAAATCGCATATATTCGTTTTCATCCGTTATTATAAAAAAAAAAAATATATCTTTGAACGCATGTGCACTTCACGCCCTTTTCCTTCACCACACGTGTACACTAGGATTGTGCTGATGCTTGTTTTTTTACATATCAGATGCTGATTTTACATATCAAAAATTGCGGAAAACGTACATCCTTACTGAATCAATCTAGACATGAAAAGCTTTCTATTTTCTGTGGTATTATAATAAAATATTATTTCAATGATTTTGCGACACTTATTAATAAAAGAATCAATCTGCATGAAAACAATAAATCTGCCTAGCTTAATCCTTCTGGAATTTTATCAAAATTATACCTTAAAAACAACAGCTGAGCTGCTTTTTAGTATTTTTCTGGAAGGTTTGTCAATTATTCCAGCGTGCGTTTTAGGCCACATCGTGACTCGAAAATCCACTGGTGTATACCACTTTTACGCTGATAGTCTCAATAATTAAATTAAGAACATTTTCAATTAATTAGGCGTTTAGCACTTTGTAGATGGCTGAGTCTAAAGGAGGATGAAATAAAGTCGCCCATTTTTTGGGGAGGCGTTGTACGGTGGTCGGTTGTTACTATATGTTTATATATTCAAGTCCTTCATGTTTCCGTTGACACCTTCAGTATGTCAGCGGGCATAAAAGAATGCGTCCGAAATACCGCTACCTGTCCTCGAGGGTTCTCGCTTCATTCATAAACAATACGCCTCGTCACGACGCGGCACTAAATTTAAACATTTGTACGTTCAACTGTTTCTACTCGGATGACCCGTATAAGTAGGTTCTTAGAACACTGTTTAGAAAGGAAGTGATATCTAGGTATCATCATGTTCTCAATAGTTGTAGTAGTATGTATGTAAATAAGTGTCAAAGTCAACTAATCTTTATTTCATAAGTAGAGTCATTCGGGTCAAGTGTGCGCACTTTTGTAATTTAGGGATTACTGTACGTAAAATGTAAGAGAAACTTAAAGGTATGACGTTCAAATAAAGCATTTATTAGGCTCTAAATTTGAATAAGAACTATTTTCTTCTTGCTAACATTAAACGATCAAAAATCGGAATGCGTTCACTTGACCCGCATTGCACAACACCCTTACGGGGTAAATAGACGCATATGGTATATGTGAGCACAGATTGCTGCTCACAGACAAAATGAATATAAAAATAAAGAAAAGTATTCTGTATTTTAAAAAGTAGACATGTTAGTTATTTTTATATAATTGATCATTGCATATCAGTTGAAATTATCACTAACATTAAGTCTAAGTTAATATGTATTATTAAGATCAATCCACTTCTGGTATAGGAATATTAATTAGAACAATTCTTAGAATCATCAATACATACAAACAAAATAAAGACATTCTTGTTACACACTATATTTACTTATTTATTTATTTTTATTTTATATGTAACATAAAAAATTATAAACAGAAAAAATAACATCTTATTATTTTAGTAAGTGGTGTCAGTTCGGGTTTTTGTCTAATACAATTTTCCCCACACTTTCCAGAGCAGTGAATTGCAAATGAATGATCGCAAAATATTAGAAACCGAATATAATCTCTAATTTTTTCTAGAAATGTAGCATAAATCTGTTCATAATTGAGTTACCGTTAATATGAGATGAAAAATATAGGTGTTACAATGTTTTCTGAAACCCAAAAATCTATGGACGTATACAACAAAAACAGGCTTTTGCTTAAAAAATCTAAACCGACGACCGCGCGTCCAAGTTTGAACTCGGAATTAATTAGCCACTCAGGCGCCTTGACCCAAACAACCACCTACCCCCTTCCTCCGGTCTGGAGCTATATCTCCTGCGCACATTTACCCACTGCGCCTGAGCGCATTCATGAGAGTCATTCGGGGTAACTGATTACCCCGAATGACTCTAAGCAAATTGTACTTGAAATCGTCACATCGATTAAACTCTACTGCTCATTCGTAAGGCAGATTCCAACTTTAGGTGTTGCTAATATTTGTATACATTTATCATTTACAATCGAGACAACCTGCAAGAGCTAAACGGGCCACTGCCACGGATTTTTGTCCATCAATTACGCCGAAGCTGTATATTAAACCTAATATAGTTTAAAGTTTTTGTTTCACTATAGTTTTAAGCCTCGTGATAGGCAAATTTTGAATATCAACCGGAATCTTATTACCTACATTGATCCTTAAATGCATTTGTGATTTTGTGAAGGTGACTGTCAGGAACAGTCAATTAATTTTTATTCCTCATGTTAATGTTACGTCGATCACTATTTAAAAAAAAATATTCTTGTTAACTTGATTACATTTTCATAAATATACTGTGACGCTAGTCTAAGAATGTTAATTTTCTAAACTTATTTCTCAAAGAGATTCTGGAGTCCAGATTGTGTTCAAAGAATCTACATGGAATCAGAAATATATAGGGCGCACTATAAGTTTTCGGAACTGGCCACTTAAATAAACAATATTTAAAAAGTAATTACAATATTTGAAAACGGAACTCTTTGGCTGTAGAATACAGTTTCTTTCATCTGACTGTCACTTGTTTTTTCCATTGTGGCGTCATTTTAGAAATTGGTTGTCTACATTAGCATGGATTTAACTCGTGAAAATTTTCGTAGTATGATTTTCTACGACTTTAAGTGTAATGTAGCAGGTAACGAAACATGGATTTACGATCCCAAAACAAAGCAGCAATCGAGCGTATGGGTCTTTCGAGATGAGCCGAAACCAACCAAAGTGCCGCGCGTGCAAAGTGCCTCTAACCGGATGATTGCTTCTTTTTTTAATAAAACTGGACACGTGGCTACTGTTGCTTTGGAGAATCGTTGTACCGTGAATAGTGATCGGTACACGACTATTTGTTTGCCGGAAGTTATTGACAAACTCCGTAAAAATAACCGTAAACGCCGTTTCATCTTGCACCACGATAATGCCAGTTCTCACATGGCCAGACAGGCAAATGAATATTTGAAGGTGAACAACGTTGACCTTATGAGCCATCCCGCGTACAGTCCCGACTTGGCACCTTGTGACTTTTATTTATTTCCAAAATTTAAGAACCAGTTACGCGGTCAACGATTTTCATCACCTGAAGAGGCTGTCGAAGAGTATGAAAAATATGTTTCAGAGATTGTCACGGAGGAGTGGCATAAATGTTTTCAAAATTGGTTCATTCGTATGAAAAAGTGCATTAACGCTAACGGAGAATATTTTGAGAAACAATAAATTCAGTCCGGTAACTTGTACTGCGCCCCACGTATGTACGAGTATATTGGACGAAAGAAATTACTACTTTGCTGCTTTGTGTATAAATGTTTGTTATTTTTTTAGATAATTACTTAGAAAGTAGAGAACTAAATTCAACTTATATTTTACGTATGTAGGACATGTATATGCATGGATTTGACTGCACGATTTATTTAAAATTCAAATTAAGAAGCCGCAAATGCTACGCGCATTAATTCGATGCTTGCAAATATCGCAGGCCAAGTCTGTGTCTGTGGCGACATTGAACTGCTTTCCACAATTTCTAACTTGTTTTAGTAACATTGAACACTTGTAATTGCATACAATGAAGGTGAAACAACTGTTAAGTTAATATAGTTGTAATGTAGTAATTAAAAACTAATTTATTTTTTAAATAAAAATATTTTGGTAACTGCTTCCGTGGCCGAACGGTCTGGACTGCCACGCAGAGGTCTCGGGATCGGTTCCCGAGCAGGGAAAAATATTTGTATGGCCTACATTTATTTATTTCTCTCGTGAGTGTGGGTGTAGTTTGAGGTTGTCTATGTGTGTGTGTCCATGGCACCCGCGGTACATGAATGTGTGCGTGTGTGCGTATGATATAATAAAGCCATATGTGAGCATAATGTCAAAGTGCTTTTATCACATAAAAGTTATAAAAATAAATCGAACTACATGGAAAAAAATAATGCATCGCACTGCTAAACACAAAAAAACAGACGAATTGAGAATCTCCTCCTTTTCTGAAATCAATTAAAACCATTATCATCATTTCAGCCGAAAGACTGCTGAACGTAGGCCTCCCTCAAAGAACGCCACAACGACCGGTCTTGTGCTGCTTGCATCCAGCGGATTTTCGCAAAAAAGAACAAATTCTATACAAAATTCCGCGATTTTAGAAGCAGGTATTATCCACTTTGTAGTTGTATATTCCTTTAAATAACTTTTGTCTATAAAAGCACAGAGTATCTACTTTTATCTGAACCAATTGCTTTTATATTAAAGACACGTCTAAAGCAATCAAATAAATACATTACATACTTATTCTTTATGGGAACATTCACATAATAAATGAAAAACGCATGCGCTATTTCTCATAATAAGCTCTGCCGACGAACAACACTATTTGGAACTGTTGTTATAAAATTAACTAGCATCATTCCTTTCATACATCTTATTTTACAAGAATATCAACTAGTTATGTATACATTATACAATCGAATACGTAGGCATATGTCGGTTTTATTAGATACATAGAATGGAAAAAGACGTGGGAATATTGTAAAAAATAAACAATGGATATATCTAGCTAATTAATGCTTACGATTGTCACATGATAGAGACGTAAAAAATACTTAGTAGAATTTGTATTGTGTAAGTCAGTAAATTAATTTATAAACCGTTCTGTATGTTTCAAGCTATTGTACTATTTGGTGCCTTCGTAACACTCAATGAACTCTTGGCATCAACATCGGAGTGCAATCTGCTTGCGTAGCGATGGGCGGCTGTGTTATGAATGCTTCTGTTCGGCTGTCAACAGATGGACGGCACCGTCTGTAGTTAATGCGCCGAGATATAAATAAATTATAAATAACTCACACACTCCCAGCCCCGCACTAGGGAAACCCTACATCGCGGGTTCCATGGACACGCACATTGGTAGATAACCATAAATTACACCCAAAGTCACGAGAGAAATAAATGCTGGCAATACAAATACTTCTCCCGGTCCGGGAATCGAATCCGGGACCTCTGTGTGGCAGTCCAGCATGGCAACCCTTTGGCCAAGGAGGCAGTTTCCATATCGATTGCATGCAGTCCAGATTTCAAATGCATGCAGTCGAGACTTCAACTGAATACAGTCGAGATTTCAGCTCCATGCAGTTCAGAGAGTTCAACTGCAAGAGTCGGCTGCAGTCGATGTGTACGATAGCCCGAGAATAAAAAAATGCAATTGTAATTCTTAAGAGAGAATATATGATTATTTTTGTGTCTGAACAATTTGAACTTTAGTAGTAAAGACGAAAGGAAACGATTACTTGAGGGTTTACTCAATTTAATGGTAAAACAAAAATACGTTGGTGAAATTTTCTGGAAGCGTTTATGTATCATTTACATTTGTTTACATTTTTTTTTATCACAAATTTCACCGTAGCGTACAATTGGGGACGTGAATTTGTTGACAAATAAAATTTAGAATTTCGATGGTGTTAATAAAAAGTAAGTCAACGTTTGGAAACATAAATTTTCTGAATACTGTGATAAACCGCAATTAACATCTTCCATTTCGACGTCAACAAATACACTGAGATCCTGAAATTGGCGCACGGGATTAACTGCACAAAGTCAGTATTGACTCTATTGACTGCGTGCAGTTGTATATGTGAACTTTGCGCATGCAGTCTGTCTAGTAGCAGCCGTATTGTAAAAGGGTGGGTGCCAAACTCTCAACTGTTTTAGTATAATTTATACATATACCGTCCTGTCACTGTTTACGTATTAGTTTACCGACTGTAATGGCGTTTAAACATACAATAAACAAGAGTTCTTAGGTTTTCGCGATTGTTACACATAGGAAATGAAACTACTTTTCCGGATTTAAATCGAGAGGCCATTGAAATTAAAAAACATCCTAACTTCAACAGGGAAGATGGTTTCTCCGTACCACCAGTTTGGGATCCAGTATTTCCTCTGATGAAAAATCCTAAACAGACGTAAGACTGCAGCACTAATGAACATGTTTTAATTTATTCTAATTTTCATAATTAATTAATAATAAATATAACTTAATAAAAATTTTAAATAAAATAATTTGTGAAACATAATGTAGCGTAAATTGGAATATTTCTTTGTAAAATTAAAAATAAGGTATTTAATTAATAACTTTTGTAACTATAGTGTAAAAAATAGGGTGATTTGCATTAATATTAGACATAGCTGGTTGATGACTGTACCACCTCAGTCAACTGTCACCATATTTTGGTTGCATTAATTAATTTGTTTATTGTATAGGAAGTGAAACTATTTTTTCGGATTTAAATCGCGTATACTTGTTTTTTCAAACAAACCAATATTTCGGACCCTATTGTCACGAAAGATGACTGGACGATTTTTGTTCCAGATGATAATATATGTCATATTGATTTTGTTTCATTTTTAACCAACTTTAAAAATAGGAGAAGGTTGAAAAGTTCTTCATTTCGACTGTATTTTTGTGTGTGTATGTTACGCGATTGTTAGAAAGGGGGTGCCTCTATTCCTAGTGCCTATTCAAATTTGAAGGCAATATTCCACCTGTTAGGGTGGAAAATTTTTGGATTTCACTACTCAAAACTTGAAAATGAAATGAAAATTCCACAAAAATTTTATAAAAAAAATTACGATTATGAATTATAATTATTAATTATTATCTAAGATCCAGATACGAATCCAGAGCTAATACCAAATACATTTTCGAATAATATGATAACAACAGTTGTGAGGTAGCACCAGGGTGCTAAGGTAAATATTCACAAGATTGTGAGGTATAATGTATAACCTTTACCATGCTTCTCGTTCGTCTATGTGTACAAATATAATTATCAATATTTACAGACTAATACGGTAATGGCAACGGCAGGTGATTAGACACTAATTATAAATGGAACTCTACATGTCATCATTACAGAATGTGTCAATGTGTCTGGTTGTTGATCGGGGCGTGCTGATCCCAAATATGAGATACCTTTAACAAATTGAATATTAGGCATGGTACAAATAGCATGAAAGAAGGCTCAACATCATTGTAGAAAAGACAGTGTTGCGCAATATGTGTGGCGTAACTCTTGGAAACCAAATGAGAAACGAAATTTTTGCATTATGCAAAAATGATCCCAATTTTGTGGATTGTACCTCAAAAAATATCATTTATAATGTTTTAGCAAGCAGTAGCGCAGTGGCGCGGTGGCGGTGGCGATCATATCTTTTACAATTGAATGCTCTGAGTGGCATTTCAACGCTACGGACAGGCGCGTCGCTTGACACCAGGCGCATGACTTGTTCGTCCCGTGGCTTGGTATTATAAAAAAAATAATGTTATTGTTTAAATATAGTAGAATATTGTCACGAAGTATTATTAAATAATGGAGTGTAGTAACGTAAAATATTATTTAATATGTCACGAAAATTTTCTATAATACTTTATAAAAATTGCCACCGAAATTAGGTACAGAAATCTTATCTGAAAAGTACCCAAATGACACATTGCCACATGGCAATGTATTGTAAAAACGGTGTACCAAGTAGGTACAAAATCTACGCTTATTATTAAATTTATTTACGACAGAGAAATAGGCACACAATCTTCGAAAACAACAAATGTAGTCATGAATAACAAGCAGTTGAAACCAAATAAAAATTCTGAAGTGGTCACATGTTAACACTGTTTATATGTTTCGTAAGTTTCGAAATTCTTTCACATTTTATCATACACGCAAGTAGATGTAGAACTTTATCTAGCTATGAGATAATTACTTGCATCACAGAGGTTGATATCTTGATTGAGTAATTGTTGTACTTCTGTTACTTACTAAAGATAAAATGTCTTTTTTATGATAACTGTTTTGAGATCACAATCTAATTTAGTTTATAATACTGAATTTAGAGGTCCGAAATTGCTCAGCACGTTAGTCCGAAAGTATTCTACAAAATACTACTTTATTTTCGAAGTGTAACAAAAATAAACTAAATTGTTTATGTATTAAGGGATAGAAGAATTGCTCTTTATTTTTATAATTATTATTTGCATATCGAGTTCTCAGGTTTTCGCGATTGTTATACATAGGAGATGAAACTTTTTTTCGTATCTAACCAACGTTTCGTGACAGTAACCAGTCAGCCGTGACCATAGACCTGTAAAGGGCCCGAAACGTTAGATCCGAAAAAAAATGTTTCATTTCCTCTATTATTTCCGCATGTTTACTACACGCTTAACTTCCATCTAATCTTTATCGATACCTCTTATGAACACTACGCCAACTTTTTAGACCAGTTCCGTTTTCATTATGTTTTTTGTTTCTTTAGTTTTATTCACATAATTTGTGTTTTTTTGGAATTTTGTTTTTTGTTTCTTTATTTTTTGTTCACAAAATTCGGGCAGCATAAAATTAGTAAATAAATATGGCTGATTACAAAAATTAATAAAAAAATAAAGTTGGCGTGTTGTTCATTTGAGGTATCGTTATGACCTTCTGTTTAAAGAGTGTTTTTCTCAAAATGCATTACAACAGCATTATGGTAATGGCGTATTCTTGAGTATCGTACGTTCGTTTACACCGTTCCGTATATTGGCAAAAAGCAAGTGATTATTGTAACAAATGAGTAACTTACCACTCGCTTTTCAGTAGCACCCTCAGTGTAAAGATGAAGTTTGACGTCAGGATCTGGGCAGGGTTCCCGTTCGCGTCGCCAGATGCAGTCCTCGAAGGTAGCATTGCTGAAATTGTCATTGTGAAGAAGCAGCGCTTCTTTAATCGGGTTCCTATGGGATTCCGCTAGGCATTCTGAAAATAAAACCTTTGTTATTTGTGATGGAATAAATTTAAAAATAAATGATTTTTCGTAATGAGACCTCCGTGGTCGAGTGGCTTGTTTGACCGGCTTTCGTGGTGTCGCCATCTCTGAGGTTCTGGGTTCCATCCCCGGTGGGATCAACATCAACAACATCTGGGTGTTTGTGGTACCGTCCTCATTTCCGATTTCCATAACACAATTGCTTTAGTAACTTACTTTGGGATCGGAGCAACGTATGTGATGTTGTCTAATAGTTATTTATTTATTTATAATGAAATTTGAATGAAGTTGTTATAAAGAACTGAAGTGTATTACAAATTTAATTTTTTTTTTTTAGTAATAGGTAAGTAAGGACGAGCTCATTCACAAAGACCTCTATTGCAACTAAATTAAGAACTTTCGTGAACTGTATTGTATAGTTACTACACTATAATTGTATTGAATTTTACTTATTACATTTTTTAACAAAAATAAATAAAATAATAAACATTTTCACTTCTCATGCTCTTAAAGTTTGTATTTATGTTGGGTGTAGGCTGCATAAAATAGGATTTTATGCTCTAGTGCATAAAATAAGGAAAAACCATCACATTAAGTAAATACGTCTAATTGTCGTAATTTTACATTCAATTTTAATTAAATAATCGTTTATTTGAAATATTGCTGTTTAATTTCCTCGCAATCGAAGTGAAAAGCAGAGTGTACAACTCGTTCATAAAACCCATTTTAGCCTCGACTTAAGTATCCACCCTCGCCTGCGTCTCGGGTAAAATGACGCGTTTCAAGCACTTGTTGTATAGTCTACAATTAGTTTTCCACAAGACAGAAATTACAATATTGGTACACTAGTATAAAATAAATCTAAGTGATATCTACATACAAGAAATGTGAAGAAGCATTGCTTATTTTCAGTCTGTAATAAACCCCGTACCAAATAGTGAGACAGATGCGTTAACACAGTACAAAGCTTGAAGATAGTTTAAGTATATTTCTGACACATTTTTCAGTATAAAATTTGATATTGGTTGATTAAATAGGACCACTGACGTTACTTACAACGGGCCGTGGAAAAGTGTGTACAACTCGTAAAGGTATATGTCAATGTTTCCACCGCACAATCGATCCAGTGGTGCAGCTGGTAAGCGTTTACTTACCAGTAACGACAGCAAGAACAAAGAAAGCGAAGTGCACTTGCGATCGCGACATCCTGATGCGCAGGCGCGGCGGTCACTGGAGGAATACACCGCTATAAGCAGGTCGACATTGCACGCTGAATACTTAACAGTTGTTAGGTGGTGAGGGGCAAGAGTGGTGGTTGGATTAGGAAGTATCTAGAATATGCGGCAGGGAAGGATGAAGAAACGTGTACAGGGTATCCCACGGCTTTGGGATACGGAAGGAAAGCACTTTAAATATTGTAGATAGGATATTGTATATTTCTGCGCAAAATATGGACGCTGCGATGTAGCTATATATATATATATATTTTAATATCATTCATTATCTCCCAACAAGTACAAAATATACTTATATTCAATCATGTAGTTACTTACCTACATGATTAGGTATGGGAGACAGGAGCCCAAAAAAGGAAAGCCCTGTGCTATGGCACTCCTGTATCCCCTCCAATAGTACAGTCGGTTAACAAAATAAGGTTAAGTGATAGAAAATGACATAATAAAAACTTAGTGTTTACTTAGGGACAAAGTGACAAAGATCAGCGCAAAAGAGGTGTAACGAATCGCAGCTGCCGCTATAAATCTTTTTTCTACACATATTTTATATAGCCTTTTTAACAGTTTAGGTTTATATTGAAGTTCTAAATTTAAATGTACTTTTTTTTGTTGTCTTTTTTTTTCTATTTGACACTGTAGTTCCGTTTTCATAGTAAAGTAATTTTCAGGTTAGTTTTCTCTACCTAATTTTGGTGGCAATTTTATACGTATAACCAGAAAAATATTACATAATATTTCAGGTTACTACACTCGAATATTAAATAATGTTTTATGATTATATTCTAGAATATTTAAATAATACAAATTTCCACTGAAATCAGGTAACTAAATTTAACTTGAAAATTATGAAACATTCTAAACTGTGATTTATCTTTTTCTATGCAATTTCTCTTTCAGATGTCTCCATGAAGCAAAATATTCTATATACAAAATTTATAGTACTTTCTCGTATGTTTCTCCATTTAAAATGAAATTAAATTAAAACAAATATTTTGGAAATTTACACTATTTTTTTTAATAATATGACAGGTAGATTCCATTCCACCTGATGTAAAATGGAATTCAAAAATATAGAAACCAAGTGCAGTGTTGATACAATCACTGCCCTAGCCACCTCCACCCTGCATGCCTACATGACGCCTCTTCACGTCTCACGTCTCACAGTAAGACGGAGGGAATACGTGCCCTGACAGGGAGTTCCATTTCTCAACTGTGCGACCGAGGAAAGTGCCACCAAACCTTTTAATTCGCGATGGAATACGGCTAGTTATAAAACGGTGACTACGGAGGCCAGCACGCGTGCTTCGGAACAGGAAAGGGGAGGGTGGGATAAGGTTGAATAGTTCTTCAGAGCACTCGCCATGGTACATCCGACAAAAGGCACTAAGGGAGACAACGTCTCTACGCAGTTGTTTTATTTCCAACGGCAGTGGCACCCCAAACTTTACAAGCAAAACTATAACGGCAAACCTTTATATTGTTGTATTGATGGCCTCGTTTCATCAGTGGCTTTTACAAAGCTAAAATGGCATGATGCACTAAAGCAATGTACTTAATTTAGCTGCAGTTCTAACCAAGTACTGTTTAACTCTTGCTCCGGATGTTCGTCTCTACATAATTTTAATTAATAAATTGTCCGGGACTTGAAAGAGACGGGTTTTGGTAGATGCAAAGACTGTTGATGACTAGTAATTATAGATATAATTGTCTTGTCCTCAATACTAGGGCGTCTATAATGTTGTTGATGTAGCACCCTCTTTTTTACTACTTATAAAGCAATCTTATAGAACCTTGTAAGATCTCAAATTTGCTTTTCTTTTAACTAATTGAATTCTCAGTCTTTATCTATCTCTCGTCTCCTTTCGATCATTAATAATAGCAAGTTTATTCTAAACCAACCCAGCATATAAAATACTTTTGACGTAAGAAAGTTTTTACGTAAGAAGATGTGTGCTTTATTTACGATAAATTTCACTTGTTCATCTCATTCCTGTATGCTTAGGCTCAATTTATATTGCGGCGGAACGAAATGGAAGCGAATTCTCGCGCATGCTCGATGTTCGCGCATTCCGCGAAAGGTTGGCTCGTATCTAGTTTGTACGTTACAAAATTGACCATAACGTTCATTATGCTATGTTCAATACCGTTATAAAAAATCGCTTCCATTCCGTTCCGTCGTAATATAAATTGAACCTTAGACCAACTTCAAAATCGGAACATTTTGCAGTACTGCGTTATTGTATAAAGGCAGTGGTATATCTACGATGATTTGCTATTTATTGTTAATCAGGCGTACGGCCGATTCGATATTTCTATACAAATTCTGTCCATCTGAGAGATAACGAACGTGTAAAAGTTACACTTATACAAAAATTACGAAATACATAGAATGGTAATTCTGTGTTCATCTGGCTGCACGTATTGAAATTGTCAGACGATTCAATTTTATGATTATCTATCTTTATTTTCATTTTCTTTAGCTGTGCATCACGTTTGTTCATATTACCTATAACTATTAAGGCTCACACAAAAAGGAACTTCATTCATAGCATTTGTTTGTTCAAAACTTAGAGCCCTTTATTTGCACTGGTACCTCCTTAAACAACCTCACGGAAGTGTAAATCAAGAGACTATACAATCGCTCTTTATGTTGTGCGCATCTAAGTGAAGCACGAGATTTGTAGAGCGGCGTCTTATGTGCGCGTAGGCAGCTTTGTGTGTAGAGACTCGGAGTCAATTACCGACGCGTGTGTGCATACAGTTCGCGTTCGCAGGTGAGAGAGCCGCTAGAGCAGGACGCCGCGAGAGCCTGCGCAGGTAGAAGCATAAAGGTAGAGCGGCTAAGCCAGTCAGAGCCACGCGCCCCGCGCGCGCCCGCGTCGCAAACCTCGCTCCACACGTCTCGTCGTGACCGCTATAGTAATTTACTTTGTGAAAACAACAACAACGTCACTATTAAACCACTACAAAAATTACCGACCACCTTACTGTTTCGGAAGTGACCACTGTGCCGTAGTAGTAAACAAAATCACGATCGAGATAATTGCGCGAATGCCACGGTCCTCAGCCTACGCAGCCGGCGCGTCCCCTCCTTCGTTCATTCAAGGACCAATCGTTGAACTCATGCTTCAGCTTTCGCGCGCACGCAGCTTCGCTGATTTGGAAATATGCCCCAAAACATCGTACCGATGCCTCGAATGAGCTGATAATCTACCGTGAATCGATTGCGACAATGTCAATCAATCAGAACGCCGCAGGCCAATTTAGTAAACAGAAATCACAACTAGGCAAACAGGGCCCGGAACCGGTCAACTTTCCACCGCGTTATCACCCGCCTCCGCCGGCTACAGGTGGCCCCAAACTAGCCACTGCAGACGCGACCGCGAAGGAGTTTAAACCTCCGTTCGCCGGCAAACCGATCGATCCCAGCAAATCACAATATCCTCTAGGCATTCACGGTGGGCCTGGACCCTATCCTAGTGGCTCTGTGCCATACACAGTCAAGTATCCTCAAGGGTATCCCGTCGGATATCAGCTACCACAGGGAGCTATCCGTGTCCTACGACCTCCCGGGGAGGTAATTACTAAAGCGATTGTCCACGAACCCGTGGAGCCTACGGCTCGAGCGAGAAGTGCCGACGACACACAACGAGTGCAACGAAATCTTGAAGAGGAGCAAATACACAGAAGGTCAGCTGATATGCTTAAGTTCACAAAACGTGTCGAACCCGACGGGCCACGTGCTTCGAACGATCAGAGAAGACAAATTCAGTCACTGCTAGATGAAATAAAGGCCTTGAAGGAAGCAAATCGTCGATTAAGTGAAGATAATCAGGAACTTCGCGACTTATGCTGTTTTCTCGACGATGACCGACAAAAAGGTCGGAAACTTGCACGCGAGTGGCAACGTTTCGGAAGATATACGGCTTCGGTGATGCGGCAGGAAGTCTCCGCTTATCAAAGCAAACTTAGAGAGTTGGATGATAAGCAACAGGAATTGATTCGTGATAATTTGGAGTTGAAAGAATTGTGCTTATACTTGGACGAAGAGAGAGAACGTAGCACGTGTGTTAACTGTGGCCGTACTGCAGGGAGAGAGAGGGATGATGGGGACGGAAGTAGTAGCGGCACTAATGTAGATGAAGGGCCGCGTGCGCCTGCGGTGCCCATTACGCATCCGCAACTGGGTGAACGTACTGTACAATATGTACGAGATTTGGAGCAGAAGGTTCGAAGACTGGAAGCAGAGAAAGGAGTAGGCAGTGCACTCACTGAGCGTCCGGAGGCTGTAGTGCGAGCGCTGCAGGTTTTAGAAGTGAGGGAGAGAGTAGAACGCGAGCGTAGGAGGCCTGCCCCAGATTTGGACACAGGGGAGCAGGCGCTTGTGAGGGAGATGTGCAACGTGGTGTGGGGTAAACTAGAAGATGCTCCACCGCAAGCGCCACCGCGTTAGACGTGATAAAATCACGAGAGAATTGTAAGAACTCGTGGAATTGCTAAATGTGAAATAAGTGGAAATTTGTTCAAAAAGGTTTTGATTGCAATCCGAGTTCGAGGCCGCCGTAGCGAGCGCAGAACCTCGTGACCTACAACTCGGAATTAAGCTGACCTTGTTTATAAATCGAATCTAACTGAACTTTGGGTTACTCATTCATAAAGACGCTTTTAACTATGTGATCTTGCCGTGAAGTGTTACAACATCAAAGTGAAAAAACGAAACCGTAAAGTACAAAAACTTAGAAGTTAACTTAAGATGTAGAGTTAAGTTTCAGTTTTTCTGTGCCTGAAATGCGAAGCTGTAATGTTGTGCAAAATTTATTTATTTGAGGAATTATGTTACTTCGAAAAAGTTATTTAGTGGAGAGGAAAAATATAAATGTTGTAATGAGGCTATTGTGGAAATTCCCTTGATATTTAAATGATCTTATAAGTTATTATTCTGGATGTCTTATGAAGTGAAAAATAATTCTTTGTCGAGCTGGAATGTTAATGTTTGCAAAAAAATCCTTTTCAAAACAATATAACTTTAAAATGACTACACAAATATATTTAATTACGTTATTCATAGAAAATGTTATACAATTTCCTAGTCAGCTATTTTTCTGAATAAGCACCATGAATAGGACCATGCGAGATTATGAATGTGACCAGCTCGTTGCGCGTTTCTTGCTTTAATTGTTTAATTTATTAATGTCATTTTAAGTTTTAATATAAATAAATTATTTATTAATACTTTATTGTTTTATTGCAGTCAATAACTTATAAGCAACAATATAGGAGATTGAAGTCTTTGCTTGTAAGTTTATAATTATTATTATTACTATTTATAACTGTGAATGTATCAAAATAGTTTTTTTCCCTCAAAAAGTTTGAAGTAATGCTGATTGTTTTCTAATGACAATAATACAAAATTACCATTAAATAAAAAAGCTTTGACTTGTATTTACAAAATAATCTTCCATTGCTTTTCTGCACAGAGAAGAGAAAAAAAGGTTTTCTGCAATGATCTCACTTGCAAAATATTTTCTGACATAATTAATCGAGTAATTGCCGCAAATAACGAAAAAGTTATATTAAAAGTCGTGTTTTCGTTATAATTTTTTTGGTACTGTTTTTTCCATTGTAAAAGGCAAAGACCCTAATGCGCCATACAGCCAAGACTGAGAGTAATATCTTTCTTGTATTCCATTACAAGAATTAAATGTCTTCGATAGTGCTTCTTACGAAATAATATAAAATTGGATAACATTCTTGATTTTTCAGGAGATCTGGTAAAGAAAGCGGGATGTTTTCAGGGGGTTTGTATAGTTCAAGAAGGTTATCGATGAGGATTATTCTAGCGATAGAAAAATGTGGACAATCGAAAAATATATGATGCAAGGATTGGTTGGAGTAGTTACAGCAAGCGCACGATGGGGAGGAGATTATGTGCATTCTATGCAGGTGTTCATTGAAACGTCCATGACCAAGACGTAATCTGCAAATAGTTGTATATAACTTTCTAAGAATAGGTATATCTTCTTTTCACAAACCACGGCTGTTTAATTTCAGAGTTTATAACATGATACCAAGTGCCTTTTGTTAACA